TTGGGATCAAATTTATACTATGCGTAATCGAGGCCAAGTGGATGGAAAATGTTTATAGATATTTACTTCCGGGTTATGAACTCTCGCGAATATTCCAACTGTATTAGAATTAGTAGTAAATGTATTTCGAATTCATTGCCAAAGCTGGTCTTCTGTTTTTATCATTATTATAAAATTATTGCGATCCATTTGTAAATGGACGACTCGAAAAGCATTAACGGAAGTTAATTTTATTTTACAGCTGTTAAAAGGACCCCAGGCTCGACCCTTAAAGGATATCAAGACACGTTTGTGAACAATATACAATAAAAGCAGGAATATCGATCAACAGGAGAAATAATGTGGTCAAATGGAAGGAAAATAGATCGATCTAAAATGGTTTGTAATGTATTGCATCGTTCGTTATATCGAAATTATATCGCATTGATGATTCAACGAATCAATGCGAATAGAAAGAGATTCTCAACAAAAAAATTTGTGGAATGTGATACCACGTTCCAAACCGAAAAGTATAAAAAATCGGTTACACATCGAGGCATTTAAAGATTTAAAAGAAAATTTGAATAGAAAATGTGTGGGTAGATTAAAAAATGAAATTTTGCAAAGAAATGTAATCAATCCCACTGTTATTAGATAAAAATATTGCAAAAATTTCGAATCAAGTATACTAAAATATGTTTTGAGTAATTGTTACAACTCGTGGAGCAAATATTATTAATAATCGAGGTGCAAAAGCAATTTAATATTTTCTGCGTAGAAAGGCAAAGCATCGTACGTAATACTACTTGCATTCTATACTCGAATATCGAATAAAATGTCCACGTGTGTGATCAGTTTCGCTCTTCATCGATGGTATAGTCGAGTTAAATATTATTTATTATGCATTGTCTCACGCAGAGTCGCTAGTTGTCCGTAGGATCCGTCCAGGTACACCCTGTATACTCGTAGAGAGCGTGCATTCGTCAAAGTTCACGTTCTTTCCCTTTTTTTCTCGATTCCCAGCCAACGGAGAAGCCGGGGAGAGCAGTTTGCTCGTCGATGATGGTTGCAGCTGCTATCATCGAGCACGTGCGTCTTCCACGTGGCCCGCTGATTTCGGTGTAGATCGAAAGCTCGGTGTTTTCCAACGTTCGATCGGCCAGCACGACGATTAAACCGTTCCCGGTTTGGCAGGGATTGCCATAACGAGCGAATACCGCCGTGAAGAACAAAGGTGATCGTTCGATGGGAATCGGAACAGGGTTGAAGGAATACAAGAAGGTAGAAGAAAAACGGATGTACCAGAAAACGAGCCCACCGAAGGTAGTTGGCTGTCTCGCTTCGACGTCTATTTTCATCTCACTCGACCGAGCAAGGCGGTTGTAGCTTTCCGTGACCACCCCTTGTCACACTTTTGGTATCATCTCCACCTAAAAAGGTAGATTGGCCCATGAACTAACACGGTCCCGTATTGGCCCGGTACGCCGGCCAATCGTCGAGCTCGTTACATTCTAGGATCACGTTGCACGCGCTTATATTGGGAGCCCCCGTTCGTTTCCCCGACAGAACGGCTCTCTAACGTAAGTGCAACACGTCGGTGTTACTTCTGGTCGTCGGCCTTTTTTCTTTTTGCTCTATTTGATTATCGCACGACAACATTAGCCGCCGGGGACACTCTTCGAGAACCATAACGGGGGACCGGGAGGAGGAGAGGAAAAGGGAGACTAACGTGCATCGTACGTGCAAAAAAGGAGAAAAGAGATTCTCGAAAAGAACGGAACAGAGAAGGTATAAGAGAAAAGAATTGTGGTCGTGCGAGGAAACCTAGGGGATTTTGTCCGAGGTTCAGTTTGGTCCCGCAGCCTGTGCCTAGTGACCAAGTCCAGTCTTGCAAACCGTCCCTTTCCACGGAGGGACTCCGTTAGGTAGAAGTACGAAAGTGTGGTTCGTCGCCGTTAATTGTCTCACGGATCTTCCTTGTGAACAAAAGTTGAGAGATCTCGCCTAGTGATTTTTCGAGCGCGAGCCTCGAGCTGTGATTGACAATTGGTTTCGAGGTGCAGTCCTTATTCTATCGCTAAGGAACCGAGACAACGTCTTCAGGGACAATTTTTTTGTGAGTGGCCCTTCCTTTGGTGAACGGAAACAGTGTTTTTTTTTTTCTTCTCTCTCCATCCATTCTCCTCGAAAGTTTTCATTTTTCTCCCCATTCGCGGCTCATTCCTACGTCTATGACGCGAAACCCAGTGGAATTATTCGGGCGTCGGTTCAAAGGACCCGGTGACGTCGTTGGTGATGGATCATTTTGGGGATCAGTGCGACGTCGAGGTGTTTCCAGATACGTGGAGAGACCTTGAAGCCAACAGTTCTTTTTCCCCCGAAATATCTCGGCCACCCTTCAATTTTGCTGCTGCCTCGTTCAATCGAAGAGTGTGACGTCCAGAGATTCAAAGTTCGACGAAAAAAAAAAAAAAACGTCGAAAGGACGAGCTCCAGTCGTGACGCGTTCTCGTTTCTTCTTCCACGTTCGAGGAAGAATAGTTCTTAGTCTCTTCAGTGAATATTCCTCGTCGATTATCTTCCCCTCTCCTTCGCCGAATTTCGACAGTTCTCCAAAGTGTTTCGAGCACTTTTGCACGCACCAGCCGCAAATAAGCTGGGAGGACGTCAAAGTGTAGTGTGCGCCATTTTGGTTCCCGGTCGTGCAGCTTCGGGAAGCGTGTTTCTTTTTTTGGCCCGGTTGGAAACACGGTATCTCGTTTCAACAATGTGATCGTTTATTTTTAAGCAGCTTCGTTCCGTTCAGATATTTTTTTTCAATTCCGTCCGATTCTATCGCGTACCCGCGCAGAATTAGCCCGACTTTTTCCCCCGTTTTCCTAAAACGGAAATGCCAACTCGCCATCGCGGTTATTATTTTTAGTCCTCTCGCTTACGATCGAATTATTCTCATTGTCCGGTTTATTACGTAATTTTCTTGTTATTTCATCCCCGTTTCTATGAGATTCTGAGCAGACATTCTGCTGTATTATTTGTTCGTAGACCTTCGAAAGGATTAATTGTTCTCAAATGTTTTTAGTTCGTGAAAGTGATAGGAAATGTTCAAAGATTGGTAATTATATTTCATAGTATTACCACTTCTTTATTTCATTCTAGTATCTGCTATAGTTATATCCTATTTGAGAATTTTCAGTTTTCATTCCAAATGTGTAGAATTATTAGTATTCCACTTTGAAAAAATTTGTACATACTTCACAAATATTAATAAATATCTGTGATATAGTATTTTGATAAAAATAATTTTACAGTTCCTCGCCAGAAAATTGTTAAAAAGAACTTAAAAGTACAAATTTTATCGTAGAATACCTTCTTGATTATTTTATTATTTCATACCGAGGCAATCAATTTTCAGATCTCGGACAAGTCTTGGTTTTTTCATTTAGAACGACTTTCAGGCATCTTGGGGTAAAAAGTAGTTGAAAAAATAGGCAAATACAAGGAATACATACGTGTGTTACGTTAATAGGCGAACAACTGTTACAAGTCTCCCTTTTCTCTCTACTCTTATAGATTTTTATTCACTCTACTATTCTTATAATTCCTCGTGGAATATTAAGAAATAAAATTATTACATAATGTACATGCCTTTATAAATTTTTTTAAACATTGCACGGGTCGTAAAGTAACTATAAAAAAATATTAATATCACTTAGAAATAAGATGAAATTAATTTTGATTAAAGATGAAATTTAATGCATTTATTGTTACAAAATGCCTTCTGTATCGCATTTTGCATAGGTTTGCGATTATAAGAGAAGCTGAGAATTCACGATTATAAAATATTTTTATAATTTCTATAAAATTTGAATATTTCATAAACGAATCGTGTTTCAATTTTATGCACGACTGAAATTCGAATTATTTTACTTCGATTTCCATTTTAAAAGCTCGTGACAGAATTTTTTTTGATATTAAAATTCCACAAATGATCAATATTTTAGATTCGATATTATCAAATAAATTTTTCTTGGTTTATAAATATCGAAGTATCGTATCTGTTATGCAATATCTTTAATATCGAGTGGAGTTTTTCGTAAATTATTAAATTAAAAAATTGGAACACCTGTTATGCATAAATATTAACATTAAAAATAGTTTCCTTCAAAATTATAATCGTACAGCTTCTCGATTAATCTTCTAGTTATTTTGCTCTTAGGGGGACAAAATACGTCTCTCGAAATTCACATCACTGTTGGGACTTTTTTTTTCTAGACATCAGAAGAAGTAATTTTTATCAATTTTTAATTTGGTCATTTTTCAACAGATGTATAATTTTAAGACGTAAACGTTTCTTCTGTGTCTATACAAATGTTCTGATTTCATTCGTAATTAGCGAGCAGTATTAATCAGTATCAAATAAGTATTATAATGGAAAATCTTGACTTGCAAAAAGGTTAATTTAGAGAGCAAAACTTGCAAATAAATACGTGATCTTAGTACGTTCGATTCTTGTCTATCTTTGACAGTGAAGAATTAAAAGAACAAAAAAATTCCCAAAAGTGGTGTCAAGAATGTAATAAAAAAACGCTCGATGTAACAATTTTACAAGACCACGAGGAAAGTAAAGTTGCTGTTTAAGAACTGTTATAATACAGTCATGTTCTTGAATTAAGAATTAAGAAGATTTATTCTGAATTTTTGGTAACATTTCCGACCAGAACTTTACTGGAGCCCTGTTCTTAACACTAGAACTACCGACAATTATAGCGTGTTTATTTGTATCAAGGAAATTGAAACGATAGGTGCGTGAAATAAGTGTTTATTCATTCTCTTATAGAAAATTGCAATAAATTTTCAAAAATTCACTCGAGTAAATTTTTCACAGGTTCTATTAGAAATTACGACCCATTTTGACTCATTTTTTTGGTTTGGTAGTTCTAGCGTTAAACTGTCGCGAGGTATAAAAAGAGCAACGTAAAATTTCGTTGAAATAACGATGGCTTGGTTGTTTGATGACGCAGGGCCGATTAGAACGTGCCGCCAGAAGTAGTCCGTCCACCGCCGAATTCTCCAGGAAACGAGAAGAAGAGTGAAGAAACGAAGCAATAAGGAAATCCCTTCCCACCCCTCGACACGTGGGAAAACGACGACGTAGAAGGCGCGTAGGCCTTCCTGGGAACAAGAGAACGTTACGATAGCGAGTCGAGTGAATTGATTAATAGCCGAAAGAGAAACTAAGCGAAGATGCCGAGACCAGTGCAGCAAGTCGGGGATGATCCCGATCCAACCCCTTACCTGTTCGTCTCCCTCGAGCAGAAGAGAATCGATCAGACGAAACCGTACGACGCGAAGAAAGCGTGTTGGGTGCCGGACGAGAAGGAAGGATACCTCCTTGGTGAAATAAAGGCCACCAAGGGCGATGTCGTCACCGTCGGATTGCCTGGCGGCGAGGTAATTCACCCTTTTTCCATTTACCCTCCTCCCCCATTACCTCCCCCTTCTCACAGAGAACTAGCCATAATTAAGGTTTCGAATTCCAGATAATATCTTTTAGACACACCTAGACGGACTTATAGCAATTTGTAAAATAATCACAATCTATTAGAGGAAGAGATAGTGGAAATGTGAAACACCCATTGTTGACTAAACTATCTCACTTCAACTATTGTTGCGTTACAACTTTTTCAACTATTAAGTTCAGCGCATAAATACCTGACTTTTTTCTAGAGATTACAAAATTGTCTTACAATTCTAAAATTTAAGAAGAAAACAAAAAAATTTAATCAAATAACAAAGTGCTTGGTACAACTCTGTTTCCAGGACTAATTTTATTTATTATCTTTGAATAATTTTTTTTTATTTATTGTAGATTTACGCTAACAATAGGACTCTTAACTATCTTTGACTTTGACTTTATCGAGATATCGTTTTTACTATACTCTTCTTCAACGAAAGTTGTTTATTTTGTCTGGAATTTGCAGAAACCTATACGCTATAAAACCTGTGAATTTTAAACAAATTCAACTAACTAAGCGAGCTAACATTTATATCTAAATTAATTGTCCAAGTTTTGATAAAATAAGCAATGGAGGAAGGTGGCGTTTTCCCTTTCTTATTCGGTGGCCGAAAATGGCCGGGAGTTGCGGCATCGCGCGTCGAAGACCAGCAGCAGCTTCCTATGTGTAAAGAAAAAAGAAAAAAGAAAAGAGTAAAGCAGAAATACCGGTGCTTCAACGTTTCGAATCGCTTGAACTCTATTTTTGGAGAAGGGAAAACTGTTCGGTGGCTCTCGTCGTGTCTGCTCTCGCCTAATATTCTGTCGTTCGATCAGCTAGCGTTCCCTTTACGCGCGATACAAAAATAAATCGTCGGACACTTGGAAACTAAAAATATTTATCGCTCGACCCGCGAAAAACGTATTGTTGAATACTCGATCCCCACGATTCGGACAGCTTGCGTAACTTGTTTAGTTCGATTGGCAGAACTTTGCCAAGATATTTCTCAAAATATTTCCTAATAATGGCTGTGAGCTTCTGCAAATTTCTGCAAACCAAATACTTTTTCAAAGCGTGTTGTAAATTTATTTTCGACCAATGTTTGCCTTAAGAAACTCCTGTAAAATAATCTGTCTTAATTGTCAATATGTTTTATTTCTATCGAGCCAAATTATTATTGTAATATTACTCATTATTTATTGATGAAACCCCAGGCGAAAAATCGTGCTTTTATTAACAAAATAGGGTATACATAGAAAGTGTGTAAAAAATGGAGCTACATGCTTGGTTGCAGCGAACTCATCAATCGCTAAAACACTTTCTACGCGAGTTAATTAGGACAGAATTTTAAATTGAGGGTATTTCGATTTCGATTTGGGTGATGTTGGTAGGAAGCTGCGAATCTTGCACGAAATGCCGCGATTCTACGCCCTGTATTACATAATGGTTCAGCAAACCCTGCTGTTTCCTCGTCATCCAGGCGACCGTAGCTGAAATGCTATTGTTAGCATCGGCGCCGCCACCGGTAATAATAAATTGAAACGCCAATTCTCGAAACACGGGTCAGCATATTTTTAGAGCATCGAAAACGGGATAGAGGGGAGTCACGGTGGACAAAATTTCTACCAGAACGTCGCTCTTTCCAACAAAAATAAGAATTTTCATAACAATATTCAAGAAATAATAGAATTTAAAAAGAACAATGTATAGAATTTAAAAAACCACTACTTTGTTTCTGTTATAAAAGAAATATTACAATTTAATCAGAAGAGAAAACTAAATTTGTTACATTGATAATTGGTACTACCACGGTTATTTTTTTAATTACTTAAAATATTCTTTTTTTTTACACTATTGGTTTTTTTTGTGAAAGGGTGAATTTTATCTATAGAATACTGTATATCGTTTCGTTATAATTTCGTGATTTATATCTTGTTGATAATTCTTGTCACGTTTATTTCGGAATAATAACGTCACAATTACATTTCTGTTACAATGATGGGTGGATTAAATTTCCAATAAGGTGAATGTAATCTCCAAAATACTTAAATAATTTCCTATATTTTATCTTGACATGGAGTACCAATAAATTAATCTAATACCAAGAGTCTTTGAGAAAATACTTTGGAGCGCGAAAAGTTAATTTTATCCAGCCCGAAGTTCGCTTCTATGGGAGACAAGCGTTACGAAAGAGAATAAAAAATAACGAAATGAATAGAGATATTAAAAGGCAATGCTCACGCAGACGAAACAGTTCCGGAAGGATCAGCTGTCCCAAGTGAATCCTCCAAAGTTCGAGAAGTCCGAGGACATGGCGGATCTGACATTTCTGAACGAAGCGTCTGTGTTGCACAACTTGAAGCAACGCTACTACAGCAAACTAATCTACGTAAGTCGAGCTTCCATTACCAGTTTACTCACGGTTTCTTTCTTTTTTCCCCCGCGCGAGAATAGACCAGGGACTTCAAGAAGGACCAGCTGCAGCAGGTGAACCCGCCGAAGTATGAGAAAGCCGAGGACATGTCAAATTTGACCTACCTCAACGATGCTTCGGTTCTTCACAATCTAAAACAACGTTACTACGCCAAACTCATCTACGTAAGAGATTGTTTCCCCCCCCCCGTAGGAGAGACGTGTTCTCTGTGGCGACCACGTGACGTTTTTTTATGTGTTTGAATCACTGTATCCCCTGTCTTGATTGTCATTGAACGGAGACCATCATCGAAACCAGGAAACGTTGGATGAAAAGCACAAGGGACGTGCCCGCCACGTTTTTCTCCGATAATTGCATGATCTCGAGACATCGTTACAAGGTACCTGGACGAGACACGGCCCACCAACGATTATAGTGAACAGAATGGCTCTCCCAGTGCATGAACAATTTTTTTTGTCAATGGAGGGGAACGTCGGTTAAAAAACACTCAGACGTGTCACGACGTGTCCCCCGTGTTTCTCCATAAAATCGTGGAAAGATAAATGTGCACAAACACTTACGAACAAGTTTCCACGATCGTTTACGTAACTACTGTGATATCGTTCCCATTACAGAAATACATATCAAAGAAAGCTCTCGACTCAAGACGTGAGTTGCTTTCGCAGAAAAACTACACACCGTTCGCATTTATATTGTGATTTGATTACATTTATGTGCATATCATGGAATGTGGAAGTCGGTGATGTCGGAAAAATCTATTTCCAGCGTTCGTTGACCATATTTTATTTGTTAATTAGCGATCAGACATCACCGATTCGTTGTTCACGCAAAGTACAGTTTCTAATCGTGCTATGAGAAAGAATTTTTCGACTTTCGAGAGCCGAGTTAGAAACTGAGACTTTCGTTCCCCGTTTGCTCTTCCAGGTGAATTTCTGCCGGGAAACGCACGTTTAATGAGCTTTCCATCTGTTTTGCAGACTTACTCTGGCCTGTTCTGCGTAGCTATAAATCCCTACAAAAGATTCCCCGTGTACACGTCGAGGTGCGCGAAATTGTACAGAGGCAAGAGGCGTAATGAGGTGCCGCCACATATTTTCGCCATTTCCGATGGAGCGTACGTGAACATGCTGACCAGTACGTATATTGAAACGACGATCATGGTTAACGTATCTCTAATTACGAGAAACGCGATGTTAACCCTTTGCACTCCAAATTATATTTCAATTTTGTTACCAACGCCTTTAAGTGTTTTATTTGAAATTTACCTGTTAAAATATCTGTTTTATTTACACTGTTGTTCTATTTTGTCCAAGTTTCAAGTGTACGATATCTCCTGAGATAAAAATTGATGTCGAATCACGCTCGACATAGGCGTGCAAAGGGTTAAAGAGATAGAGAGTGTTCACGTTTCGAGTTTCCTTTTACAGACAGCGAGAATCAGTCCATGTTGATTACCGGTGAGTCTGGTGCTGGTAAGACTGAGAACACGAAGAAAGTAATCGCGTACTTCGCCACCGTCGGTGCCTCGACCAAGAAAGCCGACGAGAAGGCAGAGAAGAAAGGTTCCCTGGAGGACCAGGTTGTACAAACCAACCCTGTGCTGGAAGCGTTCGGTAATGCCAAAACCGTCCGTAATGACAACTCTTCCCGTTTCGTAAGTCTCCTTTCATTCCTATTCTCTTCGTTCTAATTACTTATTTAAACATGGGAGCAAGGATAGGACACAGCTCTGATCCTCAAAGCTTGCTCTTAACTTCTTAGATTTCTTGGAAAGTGTTAACTCGTCGAGTATTATTTATTCAAATTATAATTAAGCTTCGCGTATCTTTGCGAATTTTCTAGTGCAAACTTGCCTGTTTTCTATTTTATTTTAATTAATTGCTCTAATCATATTTGATAAATATCTAATTTGTTTTTTCCACCATCGAATAGGGTAAATTCATCCGTATTCACTTTGGTCCCTCTGGAAAACTGGCTGGTGCGGATATCGAGACCTGTGAGTTTCTCCTTTAGACATTTTAACTTTCAACGAATTTTTATCAGCGATCCACAACTTTGATCAGAGTCATCATCTTAGAATGTTTCCAATTACATTTTTCAAATGGACTACTAAGTTCAAAGAATTACTAAAGTATTTATGGCCTAAATCTTGAAGAATTATAACACTTTAAAGTTGTCATAGAGTTCCATTTACAGAAAGGATTGCATTTTTATGCATCTGTAATTCCAAACAAAGTTGCTTCGAGTTCTTTGTACTCTTCGCTACCATTTAATTTTCCTCGATCATATTTTTAGCCATCTCTAACCGTTTCAAAGATACACCATTGGTTATCTTTATAACCCACTCGTTCGATTTGGCCTAACTTCCTTTTGCGTCAATCGTGCCCACGCGGTTTCTGCAACGAGCAATTGCATCATAATTTATTTACGAATCGACGCAGTTGCTATTCTTGTACATTTGTTGGAATAATGGTAGCGATATGGTCGTGTTTCTTAAACGAATAAAATCTGTTTGCGTGTAGATCTGCTGGAGAAGGCCCGTGTCATCTCTCAACAGACTTTGGAACGTTCGTACCACATCTTCTACCAAATGATGTCCGGTTCTGTGAAGGGTTTGAAGGGTAAGCCTGTCGAATTTCTAATTTATAGATCACTTGTCACGGACATGATTGTTATGTGTATAACGTGTCTCTTCAAGCAGCGATCGAAAAGCAGAGGAGAATCGTGAGAAGCAATCAAGTAATTTTCTCTATTCTTTTGCTAGAAAAGGACCCACGTATTGCCGACTTAGAAACACCAAACTCCCACGGAGGACCATACCATTCGTCAAAGATACTTTTCAAAATTTCAACTCGAAACAATCATCCAAGTTTGACAATTATTCAGAGTTATTTGCATCCAAATGCAAGTTAAAAAACAAGTCCAAACCGCGGTAGAAAATAGTGTCAAGAGGGAGGAACAGATTTGAATGGAATTTAAATTGGCAATACGTTCCAGAACCCTTGGAACTCTCCCAATCCTGTTTCCTATTTTATTAAGAAGTTTACAACAGGAAGGAACGCAGCGGAAACGAGCCAAGTATTAATATGTTTAGTTAACCGGCCTTCTTTAGCGCGGACCTTGTTTAAATCGTTCTACCAAAGTTTTGTATTGTTTGAACCTCGTTCCATGTAGACATGTGCTGCCTCTCGAACAACATCCAAGATTACTACTTCGTCTCTCAAGGGAAAACCACGATCCCGAACGTCGACGACGGCGAGGAGTGTCTTTTGACCGACGTAAGAACCCGACGATTATGCCAAGGGTTACGCAACACACATTCTTTCACATTTTTCTCTCTCTCTTCTTGTCTTTCTTTTCTACACTCTTGCTCCACCCACAGACGACATTCTTTTGTGGCTTATTTTCTTATCGTTCCTTTTAGGTATTCCATACCCCCCACACCCTTTGAGTTTACCGGTTGTTTATTGTTTGCAGACTTTAGGATAGGCGATGTTTGATTTGAATGTTCCCGAAACGATCAGAGGAACACTAAGGTCACGGATATCGAATTCTTTTTCTTTCCTTTCTGATGGAATACTCGACGGGTGACCCTCGTGTTTCTTTGCGACGTTTCTGTAGTTAGTAAGGTCCTTTTAAAGCACTGGACTTTCCCTAAATAGTCGAACCTCCTATACGTGGAAGAGGAGCTGGCTGAGTGACGAAACGGTATTTCAGAAAACTGTACCGTACGCTGTTCCCCCTAACTTTATCAGCATCCAATAATAAAACCTGAACTGCTTTCTTAAATTGTCTCTCTGTTCTCAATTCAAAAAATAAAACGTGAAATAATGCAATATGATTTTGCTATTTTATCTTTATTAGAATGACCCAAGAAAAGAACTTTTCAAATGAATTTGATTTCCAAAAGGATCGATTTGAGATGAAAAGACGAGTTCGGAGAGGTGATTTAGAGAAGACAGTACCACGCGACAATTCCGATCGAACGTGTTCGATACAAGTTGACGAATGAATTGACATTACCAGGTGATATTTCTGGTAAAAGCCGTTCTTCCAACGATAGTCCATCGTACGGATCAGAACCTGTAGATTCCCAAGGAAAGCCACCAGAAAACATGGCACCTCCCACTTTGTGGTTAACGCCCGCATGTTCTTTTTGTTTTCTTTTTTGGTGAACCGTAGAGATGTTGCTGCTGTCCAACAACGTCCACGACTACTACTTTGTGTCGCAAGGGAAGACGACTATCCCTGGCCTCGATGACGGCGAGGAACTTTTGATTACGGATGTAAGTGCTTCCCTTTGACTGGTCAAGCACTCTTCTATACCAACTTCGAGGTCGAATCGTTCACTTTCAAACAAAACAGCCCAACTCTCTCATAGGAAACGAAACAATTAACGATCGATCGTGAAAATAATTCCACCTCGAAATTGCGTAACATCTTTTTCATACGATTGTTTCTATTCCTTACTAGTATTCCGTTCTACTTAGAGGAATAAGACGCCCTTCGAGCTTTGTGTTTCTGTTCAGTGTGATGTTAATGAGACTTCGTTTCTTTCTTTCCACGGGTCTTTTTGCGTTGAAATTTCTCGCTACTCGCCACATTTTCTCTCTCTATCTCTATCTCTCTTTCTGTCTATTTACTTATTTCAGCTCTACGACGCGCCACTATCAATCTGAACGTAACCAACTCATATTCTCTTTAACAGCACACACAGTAATTTCCGCCAACAAGAATCACGGCTACGACCGAAGACTCTGCTTTCAATTCTATGATCTATATTTTCTTCTGTGTTTCTCTCTCACTTTTTCTCCCCTTTGTTCTTCTCTTTCTCCTCTCTATCGCTCTTCTTCTTTCAGCATCTACTTGTCGCAAATAATCTGGCACACGTCATACCTTTATTTTTCACGCGTATCACCTGGCAATCGCTCGTTTTTTCCCTCCCCAAAAAAAAAAAAATTCGCGAGAAACACGATCGAACTTTGGACGCAAACGCAGAGGAAACGGTCTGCAAATTGAAATTGCAAGCGATTGCCAAGTGGATACACCTCGACGATACCAGTTGCTCGTATAAAGCAAGCAGCTTAAATCGAGCAAAATAATGCAGAATTAACCCTACTGAGCAACCGGATCGGGGATTATTGGTACATTAGCCAGGGTAAGACCAGAATTCCTGGAGTCAACGACGCCGCGGACATGGAAGAGACGGACGTAAGTCCAAACCCCTGGGTGTATTAGAAATCTCGGCCAACTTCCGGCTACCTCGTTCAAAATCTAATCTCTATTCTTTAACCCTCGAATGGCTGATGGTTTGGAATGAACACGATCTCATACTCCATAATAGAATTATTTATTTATTTATTTATTTAAAATGTACTTTACATTTAAGGGAGCGTAACAAAATTATATATTTAAATTAATTTATTTTTAAAATTTAGTAAAAATTATTTATTTAATAAATTAGAAACAATAATTGCAATTAAATTTTATATCATTATCAGACCGCGGATCTTCATGCAAATTCATATTTTTATTTGTAGAATTAATGAAACGAGAGCTTCATAGAGGGTTGTCTCAACCCTTAAACATAATAATTTGTATCTTACCTTAAGTATTTCTTATATTTTTGCATATTAAGTGCATTCTGTGGCTCTTAATTATTATATTAAAATGAAATACTTTTTCAAAATTTGTTCAAGTTGGAACACTTGTAATTTGTATAGATAATAGGGAAGTGGGTTTAGCTGGGTGATTATGATTCTGCATTCGCTGTACGAGGGTTAACAGTGTCCGATTGGCGAGAGAAGATCCGTAGATCGTGGATCGTGGATCGTGAGGTAGTGGGGAAAGTTGGGCCGAGGTTTTCGACGCCCCCCTCGCGCCCCGCCTGCGAAAGCTTCCTGCCTCCGCAATCGGGGTGCGGGGAGATGGCGGGAGAGAAAAAGAATAATTTTGTTCCAAGTAATTTTTGACTCGAGGAAACAATGAAAGCCCCTCCAGGATACCCGCTCCCCGATCAGCTCCAATTTAACATATTTTCTTTTATTTTTTTTCCTTTTATTGCGCATCCGCTGCAAATCAATAATTTTAGCTGTTGTTTTACATCGACGGACGAGAGTCCGTTGTTTAGCTTTCGAAGGAAACTGGACGAAAGATTTCGAGCAATGTTTAAAGTCTGAAGGCTCTTCTTCGAAGAAGGATCGATCGTTGCTAGATCGGAGACGCACACAGATAGAAAAGAGAAGGAACGCTGGAATCGAGTTGTCGAGACTGTAATCTGTTCTCTTCGGAATGTTTCGCAGATATGTGTTTCTTGTCCAACAACATATACGACTATTACAACGTGTCTCAAGGAAAAATCACGATCCCCAACGTCGATGACGGCGAGGAATGTTTGCTGACGGACGTAAGTCCTCGAAAGAATGGATTCGTGGCCCCCCCCCAGTTCTTTATTTTTTTATTTTCACCCTCAACCCTACCCCGTGTACTTTGTCACCGAACTAGAGATCCGTTTCGTACCTTGCATACTTCGAAACGATGTACATATTGAGATTTTCAACCGAGTTTCCTTTCTACAGTGCCTACGGAGAAAGTTGATATTTAACGAACAAATAGATTTTTTTAAACGGTTAAATAGACGAAATTACAGATAAACTGTTCTTTGAAATTGTAGTTAATTGTAGAATGTTTTTTTAAATATTGTCAATTAAATTTAGTAATAGTGTCTATAAAATAATACTTTAATTTAACAGTTAAATAGACGAAATTACGGATAAACTGTTCTTTGAAATTGTAGTTGACCGTAGAATGTCTTTTTAAATATTGTCAATTAAATATTAGTAATAATAGTGTGTTTTTTTACATAGCAGAAGTGTCTATAAAATAATACCACCAAAATTAACAGTTAAATAGACGAAATTACGGATAAACTGTTCTTTGAAATTGTAGTTGACCGTAGAATGTCTTTTTAAATATTGTCAATTAAATTTAGTAATAGTGTCTATAAAATAATACCACCAAAATTTCGAAAATACATCAAAATTAATTGATCATTATATCAAGACAAAGTATTGCAAGATTTACGGTTTCATTTTGGATAATAATCTGCATCCTCGAATGCCAAAGTCTCGTTTATTGTTCTCCGTTGGGACTCCATTGTACATAATTTACACCCCCCCATAATTTACTCCCCAGTTATGTATCCAGTTATCGTTTTACTAATTTCTATGGTTGATTTTTACCATTCCAGTTCTTAGTCTGAACGTACACACCAGACATAGACGAAACGAATCGGCTGGCCCTATTCGATATTTCTTATTTGATGATTCTGAACAAAAAAGATTAAAAGTTTGATTTGAAAACACGGGGTCAGTCGAGAGGTAGAAATGTCCTGGAAAAAATGGATTATGGGATACTGTACTCCAAAGAAAGTTCCGTTGGTAGTGTGTTCACCTTCCAATCCCCCCGGTAGACACGACAGACCTGATTTTTCTCTTTGATTCGGCCGCGAAGAAGTCAGCCTCGAGATGGAAATTCTCGGTGGTGCGGTGAAGCGGTTATTTCCCGACTCGAGCCTCGAAAGCGAGCTAAATCGAAGCGGTTGGTAGTGCTCGAGCCCTCTCCAAAGGATCAAACATAAGAATGGCTCGAAAAGTGTCCCGTTTTTCTCATCAACGAAGGAGGCAGTTCGCTTCTACGCGAACGAAGCGATCGAAACCGAAAGGAGCATCGATCCTCCTTCGTCGTCTCAACTTTTCTATCTTTTTCTCTATAGTTTTGTGTTCACCTTTATCTCGTTGAATGATCTACGCTAGATCTCGTACAGAGTGTAAAACTTAGGTGCAAAGCGGCTACATAATGCAAGCATTGCTTTCGCTTTTTATCAATTATTTAAAGCCACGCCTCTCTATCGAACGCTTTCTCGACGGACCATGATTTGCTTCGCTTCGAAAGAATCGCTTATTGACACGAAACTTTCAAATCAGAGAGACTATCGACGAAACAATATTGTAGAATGTTAATAACGAGTTTTGTTATCTTGACTTTTCGACAGTCTCTTTGCACGAACTATTAAAGAACACACCGCCACTTTCAGTCATAATCTCGTCCGCTATTTGTACTGTGCTTGTGTGCTTCCATTAATAATTGTGCGTTATCTCCAAATTATGAACCGCCAATGTATCAGAAGTGCTCTGTTGGATGGTTCGGTATCGTCTTCGTTTCTGATCGATGCACAGAATCGAAGAGTTTGTATCAAGTTCAACGAAAATTGTTCGTCGCGTTTCAACGATCACTTCTGTTACGAAAGATTGTAAGAGCAATTATTAACGATCGTTCTTCACGATAACAGCAAGCCTTCGACGTGCTGGGATTCACCCAAGAGGAGAAGGACGACATCTACAAGATCACCGCTGCTGTAATGCACATGGGAGGCATGAAATTCAAGCAAAGGGGTCGTGAAGAACAGGCTGAAGCTGATGGAACAGAGGTATTTATCAGTTTTTTCCATTAGACTCGTTAAATTTTCCATTTGATCTCGACGCAGCGATATTTTTCTTAATATCCTGATGAAATTCAACTGTTACAATTGTAATGAGAGATTCTAGAGGCCGAAATCAACAATACCACTTTGTTGATTGAGGCTTTGTTAAAAAGTTATTAAAGTTTGAAGCTCGGTCTGTAGAGCTGCAAATTAAAAAATTTCAAATCGTTCTAAAAAAAATATTTTTAGTTGCGGGGGGCAATTACAATCATTTTTGGTCATTACATATACCCTCGAAATCCCATTCATTTTCGAGAAAAAAATTCAATAAGTAGACAAATTTTTCATCGAAATTCAAAAATTTCAAATCATTGTAAAAAAATTATTTTCGATTGCGGGGGTCAATTGCGATCATTTTTGGTCATTACACATACCCCCGAAATCCTACGCACTTTCGAGAAAAAAATTCTTTACCGAAAATTTAACCGGAAGCCAGAAATGGTACCCCGAAATTTCATGCGTATCTTTCAAACAGCATAACTTCTGAACGGATTGACCGATTTTAATGTTTCAAACGGCAAACAACGCGTATTTTGGCGTAGAATATGTAGAAACTCCAAAAATATTTGTAAAGTTGCCCCTTAACCTTGTAAAGTAAGAAAAACTCCATAAAAATGGTCCAATTTTCAAATGTCCATAACTCCTATAATAGTGAATATATTTCAATGAAACTTTTTTTTGAACTAGAGCCCATGGGTACCTACAAAAAAGTATTAGACAACTTTTCTATAGGGCATGAAACAAAGTTACTAAAAATGAAAAACGAATTTCAAGAAAAATCGACAGGGGGTAGGTGCCTAAATTTCTCGGCGAAAAAAAAAAATTTCAAATCATTCTAAAAAAATTATTTCTAGATTCTGGAGTCAAATGCAACCATTTTTGGTGAATACATGTACCCCCGAAATCCTATCCATTTCCGAGAAAAAAATTCAATAAGTAGACAAATTTTTCGTCAAAATTTAAAAATTTCAAATCATTGTAAAAAAATTATTTTCGATTGCGGGGGTCAATTGCGATCATTTTTGGTCATTACACATACCCCCGAATTCCTACGCATTTTCAAGAAAAAAATTCTTTACCGAAAATTTAACCGGAAGCCAGAAATGGTACCCCGAAATTTCATGCGTGTCTTTAAAACGCCATAACTTCTGAACGGATTGACCGATTTTAATGTTTCAAACGTCAAACAACGCGTATTTTGATGTAGAATATGTAGAAACTCCAAAAATATTTGGAAAGTTGCACCTTAACCTCGTAAAGTAAGAAAAACTCCATAAAAATGGTCCAATTTTCAAACGACCATAACTCCTACAATAGTGAATATATTTCAATGAAATTTTTTTCTGAACTAGAGCCCATGGGTACCTACAAAAAAGTATTAGACAACTTTTCTATAGGGCATGAAACAAAGTTACTAAAAATGAAAAACGAATTTCAAGAAAAATCGACAGGGGGTAGGTGCCTAAATTTCTCGGCGAAAAAAAAAAATTTCAAATCGTTTTGGAAAAATTATATTTGGTTGCGAGGGTCAATTACAATCATTTTCTATGAATAAACATACCCTCGAAATCCTACCCACTTTCCAGAAAAAAATTCAATACGAAAAGAACTTTAAACGTTAATAACTTTTTAACGAAGCTTCGATCAACAAATTAATCTAGATTCTCTCATTAAAATTTTCAGACGGAATTCAAATATTTTTCACATCATTTTATTAGGATTGTCGATTAATCAAGATCCATCTTGGAAACCAAGATATTCCCAGAATTGAAATTTAACCGATCTTAATACATTTTTGTCTATGATTAATGGAAAATAGGAAGGTGAACGAGTCGCCAAGTTGCTGGGTTGCGACTGTCAGGATCTTTACAAGAACTTGTTGAAACCGAGGATCAAGGTCGGTAACGAGTTCGTGACCCAAGGTCGTAACAAGGATCAAGTGGCGTACTCCGTGGGTGCCATGTCGAAGGCCATGTTTGACAGATTGTTCAAATGGTTGGTCAAGAAGTGTAACGAAACCCTGGACACCAAACAGAAGAGACAACACTTCATCGGTGTACTAGATATTGCCGGTTTTGAGATTTTCGACGTAAGTTTCCTCGACCATGATCACACGCAACACACACGTCACACCCATCACAAACGTAATCGTTGGCGACTTTTATACGTTTCAATCTAAAATATCTCCTAAACAGATCATTTATCAGCACAAATAACACAGTAATTTTTTTATAGAGAACAACAAATTTAATAGATTGTTCCCAATTAAAAATTCAAAGATCTGATTCCCTTTAAAATATCAAAGATAGCAAATATGGATTCAACTTTCTGTATTACTTTCGAGCCAATTTTCTCCTGTATAATATCAATATAATATAAACAATGCTTAAACATTTCCAAGCTTTTGATCGCGTATACTGTTTAAAAGTCGCCAAACGTTTCGTTAAAAATACTCCGATAAGCAGAAAGAAATAAGAGAACTCATTCCAGTATATTTTCAGAAACATAATACCACATTAATGGCGGACAATTATATATATCGTACGATAATTACAAGTAATTCGGTAACCCGTGAAATATCGAAGACACTTATCCGTCACCAATATCTTAGCAACAGAATTACCAGCAGAATCGACAACAGAACACACAAATCCAACTCGCAAACTACTCTTCACGAATCGTGAACAATTCCAAACCGTTTCGAACTCTGATCGTTCGTAAATCCCTGAGAAAATAATGCTCGCGAACTTTCACGTCATCGAACACTTGACACTACGTTTCATTCTTCAGTACAACGGTTTCGAGCAACTCTGCATCAACTTCACCAATGAGAAACTGCAACAATTCTTCAACCATCACATGTTTGTCCTCGAGCAAGAGGAGTATAAGAAAGAGGGTATCGTCTGGCAATTCATTGACTTCGGAATGGACTTGCTCGCCTGTATCGAGCTGATCGAAAAGGTACCTTCGTGTACAGAGACGCCCCCAAGTGTCCAAAGTCGTTTACTTTTCGTCCTGTTTCTTTCACCACGTTTTTCTCGTCGAGAGATTTGTTGGAAAGCAACCCCCTTTGTACACGTTTGATCTCATTAGGAGGTTCCTCCCAGAGTGTTTAGAACCTTTGACTGCCACCCTGTATAGAACCTTTGGACAAACGATCTGGTTTGATCGAACAGTCTCAATGTTATGCAATATAACATAACTATCCTTTTGGACAGTGTTTTGGGATATTCAAACAATCCTTTGTACATAGAAGTTCGTTTTAAATAGTTCAAGTTTCTGTTACTGTTTTCCCATTTTATTTCCCTTTTAGTGTGAACCTGGTGTATGCAAACCCACGTACAACTGTTATTTTCTTACACAAGTACAGTTTTACAGTGACAATGTTATTGGAATTCCCCTTGAATTGTTCCCACCCCTTAGTATTGCCTCAATCTACGCAATACTTTGAGAATTCATTATTCTGTACAGTTTGGTATTGTGTCCCCCATATTTTTCGAATTTTCCTTTGGTGCAAACACTCATCGCGAAAAGCACGATCACCCTTCCGATACAATTGCATCGTAGAGCATGTTTTTACACCCGAAGTATCCTCTAAACGATGGTTCCCTCGTGAAAAAGAAATCTGGTGATCGATACTCGTTTCGATATCATTCTCATCGTCGTCGTCGTCGTCTCGAAAAAAATGTAGAAACAGTGGACTTAGTGGCTGAGTGGATTGAAACATTTTAAAGTATTATTTATTTCCAACTGTCCATCAAGACTACAGGACGGTACACGGTTGCACAAATCTTCTGAAGGTGATTTGTTAGCCAGTAGTTTGTTGAAAGTAGACTAATACGTTAGAAATTTACTTCATTTTCTTTTTTTTGTAAGCGTTATCAGACATGGCGGTACAAATTGTTACACATTTGCACGGTATTGTGTTTTTTAAAGTTCTCCCACGGTCGTGTCCGAATATTTGCGATTTTTACTCAACTATAACTGTTGTCGTATTCTTTGTTCAGTAATAAGTGAGAGTTTAGCGACTTTTTTGATAGATACAAATATATTTTGTTGAGAATAGTCTTTGTGCAATGTGTTGTGCTTTTGAGATACTTAGATTTAACGTTTTCAAACGAACACTCACTGACTGAATTTAATTTAAATTTTTTTCTTGAAAATGGAAGACTTATTACGGGTCAAGAAGCAATTTTTAATATCAATATGCTTTTCAGATACTTAGATTTAACGTTTTCAAACGAACACTCACTGATTAAATTCAATTTAAATTTTTTTCTTGAGACCCCAGTGAAATGGAAGACTTATCACGGATCAAGAAGCAATTTTTAACACTTTACCGACCGATAGCCTATTGATCGACTGTTTTACCGGCCAACGCTTACCGGCTGATAGCCGATTAATCGACCGCTACCGGTCGGTAAAGTGTTAATATCAATATGCTTTTGAGATACTTAGATTTAACATTGTCAAACGAACACTCACCGATTGAATTCAATTTAAATTTTTTTCTTGAAAATGGAAGACTCATCACGGGTCAAGAAGCAATTTTTAATATCAATATTTTACAACACACTATTAAATATAATAGTGCTTCTCTTAATCTATTTCAAATTTCAATTTTATGCAAATATTTGGACACCGTCTAGTAGTAATGTATTTTATTCCCTCCAAAACAACGACATGGTATACAATCTGTCGCATACTGCAAAAACTTTTTGTAGATAGTTTCTTAAGGACTCAGGGAGAATCCTTAAGACGAGATGATTCTAGAACAACGCGCCAGGTTAATCGACGATCCAGAATCTTTTTTTTTTAACATCTATTCCGGGAATTTGAGATTTTTTTAAATTGTAACAGCTTTGATCGTAAATTTCCAACGATATCCCGACGAGAAGATTCTTCAAAATCGTCGATTGACCAGTCCCGTAAGTGTTGACCAGTATCCCATAGTACTTGGGAGTACCGTAGACGTAAAACGATTTGAACGTAGAGGAACAAAGAACTCGTTAGACAAGAACCGGGTCTAGACCTTGTATAAAAAAACAAAGCTGAAAAGCGGTGCGGTTTAAACGCCGATGAACAAGCATGCCTGATTGTTGCTCGAACAGTTCAACAGCTTCGAGCAGCTCTGCATCAACTTCACCAATGAGAAGCTTCAACAGTTCTTCAACCACCATATGTTCGTCCTCGAACAAGAAGAGTACACGAAGGAGGGCATTCAGTGGGAGTTCATAGATTTTGGCATGGATCTCCTCGCGTGTATTGAACTGATCGAAAAGGTACAAAAAGACGAGTGAATCGATCGATGGAATGGATCCATAGACGGATCCGCCGTGTGGGGGAAAAATTTAAAAAAAAAAACAAGAAAAAACACACACGAACGCAGCATAAGGATCCGTGAGAGGACCACTTGGATTCCTTAACGATTGCACAAATCTAACGCTTCTCACAACAATACGCAATAACGATCGTCCACTGTTTTCAGAAATTGATTTTTTTCAGTTTGTATTGTCCTTTGCTGAGCCGTGTGATTTCGCGTTTCAGTGAGAAGCAAGCAGTCCCTCGTACGTGCTTAGACATCTTGAAAATATGTATTTTTTTTCACTTCGTTCCATCCACGTCCTACAAATCATCATCACAGTTTCGTCCAGATCGGTTCTCTTACGACAAACGTATGCTTCCATTCTGCTTAACTCAATTTTACGGATTCCATAATCAGAATTACGAGTGATAAAAGAATCACTGATGTAAAGTATTACTTTTTGAATCACCAACCAGGTGAATTGACCTGTACAAATGAGTCCAAAACTAGTAACGACCGACGCCAGAAAGACACCAAACAGTTTCACAGAAATCAACCAGGGCGATCGAACGGATCTTATACTGATCGTTATTTTGTTCCCCTGTTTTTTTCTTTCTCTGTCTTCTCCCTACGCCTCTCATCGTCCTACCTCTGTCACTCACTGCTCGTTGTGCCGTGACCGCCAACAGTTCAACGGCTTCGAACAGCTCTGCATCAACTTCACCAACGAGAAACTGCAACAGTTCTTCAATCACCACATGTTCGTACTCGAACAAGAGGAGTACAAGAAAGAAGGCATCGATTGGGAATTCATTGACTTCGGCATGGATTTGGCCGCTTGTATCGAACTGATCGAGAAGGTATTCCCACGCTTTTCTCAAAGACGAAACGAAAAAAATGAAGGAACCAACGCCAATGGGAGAATACACGATTACGGATGTTTGCTGAGAGCTTTTAACCGATAGAAAAGGAACCATAAGCTCCTCGACTGTTTGTCGGTAGTGCAGTGGTAGATTATTGGGCCAAGTTTTCTCTACGCTTTCCACTCTTCTCGTAGTTCTTTGACGCTGTTGTTGCTATCCTTAGGAACAAAGGTAACCGATACGCCTACCTCGTTGTTCTTCTGTCTTCATTCTCGCTTTACCCCCCCTGTGTTCTCTGATTTATCTCTACATTATCCCTTCAACGGCACCAACGTCGTGCCCTCTCCCCCCCATTGCTCAGTTCCCCCAAGAATCAGGGATATTGAACAAGTTCTAATATTTTATACCATGAAACATTTTACTGTTACAAAAAATGCATTAACTTTGATCCTTACAGATCATTGTTTATCCTTTAACTCGTGGTCAAGGTTTGTCACAACAGAAGTACATGGATTCGACAAACTTTGCCACTCATCTGTCATTAACATTTATTAATTGGTTCAGATCCGTGAACTAATATGTTTTCTTAGGACTGCTTCGAATTTTAATTACGACAGCACGATTAATTACTTCAATTATTATGGAGTAATGGCGTGTTTGAAGTAGTTGTCAAGTTCGAAGCAGATCAATGAAAGGAAAATAGCCCTAAGGAAACATTAGGGTGCCATCTCGTTGGTGCAAGATAAAAAACATACGCTGAACGTATCCAGAGTATATAAAAATTTTAATATCGTATTATATTATTCGTGAAATATATTTTAGATACGTCTTCAGCGTTTTGGAGCAACGTGGCGGTACCCTAACATACACATGTAACATTCGTGTCCTGCTGAAACATCAGCGTGGATTATCCCTCTTCCTATAGTCAGACAGAATATATAATACTCCTTGTCACAATTTACAAATCATCTCTTACACAAGCAGCATTAATGACGGCTGCCTTTCGCGTTTGTTTTCTGTTTCGTTGCTTTTCCCCATCCTCCTCGGTCTCGAGCAGTTCAACAGTTTCGAACAACTCTGCATCAACTTCACCAATGAGAAACTGCAACAATTCTTCAATCACCACATGTTTATCCTCGAACAAGAGGAGTACAAACGCGAAGGAATCGAGTGGACGTTTATTGACTTCGGCATGGATCTACAGCAGACAATCGATTTGATCGAGAAGGTACTGTTAAGCCGTGACACGAAAGTGTTGGAAATAAATGGCCAATGGCTTCTGAGATTGGATAGAATCGCTGCGAACGAGAATGCAGGCTACGAAGGCGATCATGGATGACGAGAAAAGTATCTTTCGCATGCGAATGGTTATATCAGCTGCTCCCGTTTATCGTTCCATTCGAACAATGCTTCGCGATTGCTCGCTTATCGTTTATGTTTGTGTGCTTTGTTCGCTGATTCCTTGCTACACCTTCCTTTTTTACAAGCATCGAACATGTATCGAATTCTAATTAACGGAACGAACGATCTGATCAAAATCAAAAAATGAAACTTGGAAAATGATCTCCAAAACCATCGAGTTAGAAAATTAAAATGTGTCTTACACTTTCGATAGAAATAGAAGTATTTTGATTTTGGATCGGATAATCTTCTCGTTGAATCAGAACTATGAGACAAAATCATACCAAATTTCCCTTCGTTTTTTGTATCGAAGAACCCCGTAAAAGGAGTATCATATGAAGGGATATGATAATTTTTGAGAAAAAGGTAACGTAATGAGAATATCCAAACTTTTCGTGCTTGCAAGCTTCTTTTTAATCGTGCCTGAATATTTGTATGTACATGTGCATGTGTTCGTGATATCATGTGTTCCCACAGAAGCGAAAATAATCAACGATATGGAATTCTTGATGGTCTTCTCGCCCCCAAAATTATAAATCATACCATAAAACTGAAAAAATGTCAACGAAGATTAGCACCTCGATTTGGAGAAGATCATTCAACGAATTTCTATCGTTTCGTTTCGAAAGCCTCTACGGATCGTTCCAGAAATGATCTTCACATCAATTTCGAAGAAGAAAGTAAAACATCTTTGACGAAAATGTTCTTTCTTTAACTTCTAAATTTAAAGAGAGATTTAGAAAGTTATACCAGAGCAAAACTAATAAGAGTAGCGTTGATTTGAACTTATTTTTCAATGAAAAAGAAATCTCTAAATCTATTAATAATTTTGGTATTCGTGGGACATTCTAGCGTTTTAATCTTTTTTCAAAATTGTATTTAGCGGATAGTAGATTGTGTTAGAATTAGTGTTTGAAAGCAGAAACGCTACTCTTAGGAGACTTTTCGCGATCAGGTCACGATCTAACGCGTTCTTTTGTTTTTCTCCACAGCCTATGGGTATCTTGTCCATTCTTGAAGAAGAATCTATGTTCCCGAAAGCTACCGACAAGACGTTCGAGGAGAAGTTGAACAACAATCACCTTGGCAAGAGTCCCAACTTCTTGAAACCAAAACCACCGAAACCAGGCCAACAAGCAGCCCACTTCGCCATCGGCCATTATGCCGGAAACGTACGTTTCAATCTCATTTATCAATGAAGGGGATTGCAGAATATTAAAATTTCTAGATTCATTTCAATCTGAAAATCAACTGCTTGACCAGAAAATAACAGTTTCAATAATTTTTTTTCAGGTTTCTTTTCACTTTACCCAATGCAAAAAATTGATTAAATAGTGTTTAGGAAATATCGTTGTCAGTAGAAGGAATACTAAGCGATTTAATGTGATAGGTCCCGTACAACATCACCGGTTGGTTGGAGAAGAACAAGGACCCGCTGAACGACACTGTGGTCGATCAGTACAAGAAATCATCCAACAAACTGTTGATCGAGATCTTCGCCGACCATCCTGGACAGTCTGGAGACGCCGGTGGCGGTGGCGGTGGCAAAGGTGGACGTGGTAAGAAGGGTGGTGGTTTCTCGACGGTGTCCTCCTCGTACAGGGAACAGCTGAACAACCTAATGACCACCCTGAGAGCCACCCAACCCCACTTCGTCCGTTGTATCATCCCCAACGAGTTGAAGCAACCGGGTGTGATAGATTCCCACCTTGTCATGCACCAGCTGACTTGTAACGGTGTGCTTGAAGGCATCCGTATCTGTCGTAAAGGATTCCCCAACAGAATGATGTATCCCGACTTCAAGCTACGGTAAGAACTCGTATTTTAAACCTTGGAAGTTTGTTATATCGTATTCAAATTAGTTTGATTCGCTTGAAAGTTACATCAGAGACTCTCTTGCTAGGGATCAGAATCTCAACTTGAAGAATATCTTGAATTAATAATTGTTTTCTCTTCAGAACAGCGAAACCCCCTATAATTCGAAATTTATGTCTCCAAACTGTTGAAGATTTTAGACAATCTTAACAGTTTTATCAAGCCTGTTGTAATAAGGTTTTCATTGATACGTTCACCCCTGTGGTGGTGCTTGAAACGCTGTAAAATTATGATTTCCATGAAAGTGTTATGGTTTTTATGAAAAAAACAAGCTTGACAATTAGAGACTGGTAGTTACGAACGACACATTATAAAATGATCTCTTTATATTGTGATCGTACAGTTACCTGATCTTAGCCCCGGCCGCGATGACGGCCGAGCCGGACCCCAAAAAGTCCGCTCAGAAATGTTTCGACGAAATCGGTCTTGATCCAGACAGCTACAGGATCGGTCATACCAAGGCTAGTTACACACCCTAAAAAGAAATTTGATTTTCCGAGATTTTTTTCGTATTTTCCACCCCTTCTGTTCTCCGCCGTAGATCAAAATAGGTTTCATCCGTACACCCCTATCGTAATTCACGGTTTAAATTTTATTTCACGTCGACGAATAATTTTCTTCACTGCACTATTTTTACCCTTCCCCGTCGTTCACGTTGATTAGTTTGATAGGCTTGTCAAAACGCAACTGTCTCGTATTGTTTTTCTTTACACCCCTCATAGAGCAAATATTAGATATCGTATGCACGTATACCAGGAGATTTGAAGAACACGTTTATTAGCGACCACACCCCCTGAATTGAACCCTAGAAATAGATATTAGCGATGATTATTTATTGTACGAACATGCACGCAATTCCACCCTTTGCCCCCTATTGGATCAGTGATAAATATGTGCAAACAGCCTTGTGTGACCCTTAGAAGTTATGTTATAAGTTTATGTAAGCAGTACGTGTCAGAGGGAACGACATCGGATGCAGAGAGGATGCCCCTATGAAAACGACCATGATTTCCCCCCCTAGAAATGTTTGGTGACCTTGCGTTAATAGAATCCGATTCCCTGTTTGTGCATTGTGAACCCTGACCTGTAGGTACAAGATTCTGGCTCCGGCAGCCGTCGATAAAGTGGCTTCCGACCCGAAGAAAGCCGCGGCGGCCATTTTGGAAGCGTCAGGCCTCGATCCCGATCAGTATCGTCTTGGACACACCAAGGCACGTGTTTCCCTTGCCATCGTGATCCCCTCGTCGACCACGAGGAACTTGTCAAACGCTCTTTATTGAGATCTATATTGTTTATCGATCATTCGACTACAACTCGATATTCAAATCAATTTGAAACTAAAGAGATGCTAATATTTATAAACAGCATCATCGTTCGCAAAGATATATAATTTAATTTCTAATGAAAATTTTACAAATTACGTAATTTTTACGAGTAAAAAGGGAGGCGTGGTATCGAATGATCGATAATGCCTCGTACGAACACAATGTGCTTAACCCAAAGGAAGACATCAATACTCTCTGGACAGAGTAATGGATTTCTGACATGCCTGATTTACTTTAAACACCGCCTAGAATTTCTAAAACAGAACAACGTTTGGGACCGCAGGTCGTTGAACTTGGGTATACTTCTGTATTAGAAATTTTCTAAACATAACAATAGAAGAGATCGAACACCATAAGGATCTCGAATTGCCCCGGCCATTTAAATCTAAACGAATATGACAATTAGATGGTGAATATGTATCTAACTGTGAGTGGTAATCTTTGTCTGTTGTGCCGCCCCCCAAAACCATAAAACGAACCACCGCAGATACAAAATTCTGTGTGCGAATGCCATCAAAGAACCTTGCGACCCTCAAAAGGCCACCCAACTGATCCTGGACGCGATCAATCTGGAACCAGACCAATATCGTATGGGTCTCACCAAGGTATTCGACACCTTTGGTCTACCTAAACGCCATAATTAATACGGAAATAATGCTTCTGTTCTTTTTAACAGCAACCCTTAACCCTTTAATTAGTAAGAAACCATTCAAGGATTTCCATAATCATCCACACCGTTCGTGACGAAGATTCTCGTTTAATTCCTCCATCTTGGAAAGATTCGATGAATTTTAACACGTGATACTTTTTATACAATTTAATAATTATTTATATAATACAGTGTGTTTGTAGAATTTGAAAAATTGACGATGAATTCGAGTACTGTGCAGTTGAATAGCAGGTCTGACCAATTATAGTGCATTCTACTGCCTTGTAGGCTCATGTTACTGGGTTTATGGTAAGTAGAATATGCCATAATTAATCAGACATCTGTGAACGAATTTAATGAGCAATTATTAAGAGGAAAATAAATCAATTGGAATATCATAAATAATTTATACAATTTATAGAATTTATAGAATTTGTCTGACCAATTATAGTGTATTCTACTGCCTTGTAGACTCATGCTACTGGGTTTATAGTAAGTAGAATATGCCATAACTAGTCAGACATCTGTGATCAAATTTGATGAGCAATTATTAAGAGGAAAATAAATCAATCGGAATACCATAAATAATTTATACAATTTATAGAATTAGTCTGACTAGTCTGACTATGTATAGTATGATCCACTTTGTTTCTCCTGTAATTTGAATTACTAAAGTTTCAAGTGGACGATCGTTCGATAATAATGGCAGGTCTGACCAATTATAGTGCATTCTACTGCCTTGTAGACTCACGTTACTGGGTTTATAGTAAGTAGAATATGCCATAACTAGTCAGACATCTGTGATCAAATTTGATGAGCAATTATTAAGAGGAAAATAAATCAATCAGAATACCATAAATAATTTATAGAATTTGTCTGACTAGTTTGACTATGTATAGTATGATCCACTTCCTATTGCACCATAATTAGTTGGATCTACTATTCTCTGCATTTGGTACACTATTGTTTCAAATTATAGATAGTTTCTCCTGTAATTTGAATTACGAAAGTTTCGAGTGCACGATCGTTCGATAATAATGGAAATCTTTATCAACGTCCAAAATCATGTTTAAACATTAACGCACAGAATTGATTGCCGAACTTTTTTTATCTCTTCGCTGACACACGCAAGGTAACTTCCACGTTGCTTCTTCATACTTTAAGTCAAGTAATTGTGTTCTTTTTGTCCGTTTTCGAATTTTGCACGACAACTTTTACTTTGATTATTTTTGCTCGAACCCAAATCGTCAACTTCAAAATGTTGCCCAAGAAATTACAGCGGCTTAATTTTGTTATTGTAATTTGTTAATTTTGTTATAATATAAAATTCAAAATTATATTTAATTGCTGATAATTTTCATCGGATATCTGAACATTTTTCTATTATTAAATAACTTTTTTTCATATCATAAAATCATTTCGTGAGAATTTTATTGTATATCATTTCAAGATATTGCTATAGTCGATTTATAAAATTTGAATTTTCTATCCATGGGAATTTAAACGAAACGAATTTATTAACATGTGCAGAGTCTTTCCAGATTTCGCGATCGAAAGTAATCAAAGTATTTCGCGTACGATCGATGGAATGTCGCTAATCGAATGTTTTGTGTTCTTTCGTTAATTTGAAAAACAACAGGTATTCTTCCGTGCCGGAGTCCTGGGTCAGATGGAGGAGTTCCGTGACGAACGACTCGGCAAGATCGTGTCCTGGATGCAGGCCTACATCAGAGGTTACTTGGCCCGAAACGATTACAAGAAACTGCAAGAACAGCGTCTGGCGTTGGTGGTCGTACAGAGGAACTTGAGAAAGTACCTGCAACTCCGTACTTGGCCATGGTGGAAACTCTGGCAGAAAGTCAAGCCTCTCCTCAACGCCACTCGTATCGAGGACGAGCTTGCTGTGAGTGTTTTGACAAAATACTTGACACAAAGTATCCAAATACTGCAAGTGATCTTGCGGTAGCAGAGATACACAGGCCAGGGGATCATAGAACATTCTTTGTCGGTTGATTTCTGTTTCTATTTACGGCAAATCTGGGATAACTGAAAGAAACACGGTACCAAAGTCTCCAATTTTCTGTCTTGTCGAACTTAAAAAAGAACAGCGAATGACGCGTACATAATACCGACTAGACTGCGGATCTTCATGCAAATTCATATTTTTATTAATAAAATTAATGAATTTGGAGCTTTGTAGAGGGTTGTCTGAACCCCTAGATATAATAATTCGTACCTTACCTCAAGTATTTCTTATATTCTTGCATATTAACTAAATTCTGTAGTTTTTTGAAAATTAAAATTTCCTATAAATGCATAAACATCCGCAGTCTAATAATGGCAATACAATCTGAAACATTTTTTTGTTAGTGGGTTAAAATAAGATAAACAGTTGATATTGATAGGCAAATATCATCAAAATTGTATCGCGTTTGATCTTATTTTAATCCAAAATAGAAAAATATATTGGTAAAAGTTTAAAAAAAGGATGACAAGTAAAGAATCTTTGCATTAGGTACTAAAATCTGTACATATGTATTGTCTCACATCAGATATTTGAGCCCAAATCAGATTGTACTAAATGACAACAGAGAATGACCAATGTTATCCAAGATTTGCTGTATAATTGTTTAGGGGTGCAATCCTTTGCACTCCCCTGATGTCATACTTAACCCTTTGCACTCTGAATTATATTTCAATCTTGTTACCAGCTGTTCCCAATGCTTTTAAGTGTTTTATTTGAAATTTACGTTGATTAAAAATTATTGTATTTTGCAATTTTCAAGTGTATATCTCTTTGGTTCGGACTTGAACAAAATGTCGATTGGGACTCGACATAGGAGAGCAGAGGGTTAATATGCATCATAACTTGGTTCAAGCTTCGTTCATGGTAACACAGACTGGATTAAACCAATTGAACTTAAAGTTACGAGAATTTATATATTTTCGTGGGAAGCAAGATCACTTGGAATTTCTAGAAATGGCGCCGCAAAATCTTCCCAAACTTGCTGTTGCTTATATCAAAGAAAATTATATCAAAGAAAGGGTTGAAGTTTTAATAGCGAGCTCTGAAATACATTTTGAGAACTTAAATGCAACAAGGTTTCTATTTTTATCGTTTAAAGTTGAAATAGTTTGATGAATCTGTTTGAGTACATGTATAGTAGTTACATTCAAGTGTAAAATGCATATTTTAAACGTTTAAACTTTTTATTAATACATAATTTATATATTCAATGAATTCATAGATAATTATACAATACTATCAAGCTATAGATTCAATCATAATAAAATTATTATAAAAATAGTTTTATAAAAAAAAAAAAAAATTAATTTAAAAATTAAAAACTACTTTCGCTTCAAATATAGTATATGTAACTTTGAGAACTTAAATGCAACGAGGTTCTTATTTTTTAAACTTTTTAATAATATATGTAATTTATATATTCGATGAATTCATAGATAATTATACCATATTACCAAGCTATAGATTCAATCATAATAAAATTATTATAAAAATAGTTTTATAAAAAAAAAAAAAATTAATTTTAAAATTAAAAACTACTTTCGCTTCAAATATAGTATATATAACTTTGATACTAGTATTTTATAGTATACTTGAGAACTTAAATGCAACGAGGTCCCTATTTTCATCGTTTAAAGTTGAAATAGTTTCATTAATAGTCATCTTAGAAGATACTTGCACCTTGGTGCAGTGAGATCGCTTGGAGTACGCGATTAAAACGCGCGTCGATCGTATAAAGATCGAGCAGGGTGTCGGAATACTCGGATGAGTCATAGGATGAGCAACAGGATTTTTGGGCACGGTTTGGCGCGTCTTAATTAGATCAGGTTGACATAAGGTCGTTACACGGTTTAATAATCGTGATTATCGAAATTCTCCCAGCGGGGCGAACGAAAATAAAGTAGTCGGGAGTCACGTCCAATCGAAAATAGTATCGTTCGCTATAAATGATATTACCACAGACGCGAATCCCCGTCCGCGGCTGCGCAGTAAACCGATCCCTCCCTTGCCCACTCGCGGTTCGGTATTCGTTCCCAACTACGGGAGAAAGCCGATTCCCTCGGGAATTACGAGTTCGATCGGCGTGTTACGGTTCTTCTGGATCGTAAAAGGAGACTGGAGTCTCGCCCCCCCCCCCTTCCACGATCCTCCTGGAACGCGTTCTAATTTCGTCCACTCCCCCTACCCGTGTGGCCGGTTTCTCATAACTCCCTACCGCCTTGCTGCTTCTCTCGCGCGCTGTTCCCTCCCTCGTCATCGGGATCGGTTATAAATATTTTTCTACGACGAACGCCGCCTGGAGTGGGGGGGGCCGCGGATGGCCGATTCTTACGCGGTAGACGCGAAGAGGGATTTTAGGTAGAAAAGTTGAGCCTCTGGTAAACCGGGGATCAGTTGGACCCGCGACCTCTCGACGACCTTTTCGAAACGATTTTTTTTTTTACTCACCGAACCGTGGAAACTTTTTTTCCCCCCTACGCGAGAAGCTCGACCGTGCATTTTATTTTTCTACGTTTCTCTGCGTTTCGCTCGACACGATAAACGGGATCGCGACTTGTCCACCCCCCTGATCGGCGCGCGGTCTTTGATTCCTCGATCGATCGATCGTTCGTTGCGTACGAGGATCCGTGGGATACGATACGATGGGTGACACGGTGGCGGAGGATTCGAAACCGGCGGTGAACGGTGATGTGGAATCGCAATTGCAGGCGTTCGAAGAGAAAGCGAGAAAGGCGCAGGAGGCTTTCGAGAGGGAAGAAAAGCTGCGCAAGGAGCTCGAGGAACAGAACACGAAAATAACAGCGGAAAGAAACGCGTTGCAACGGCAGCTGGATGGCGAGAAAGGCTCCCTATCAGAATACATGGAGAAGTCCCTGAAATTGGCTGCTCAGAAGGCTGATCTCGAGTCGCAACTTCAGGTAAGTCCAAGCCAGATACTCCCACACTATACCGGATGAATATTTAATTCAGAATCAATCTTCGTTTGTTCTAGCGAAGGGTGAAAAATTCAATATCAAATTTGATATTAACGGTGTCGAGTCGTTTCGATTTAAACGCTATTTTCTATCGAAAAAACACCCCCTTGAAATTTTCATTTCCAATGGTTTTACAAGCTTAATCGTTTCTCCTCGATCGATCAATCAAACGCTTTTGGCAAGGAAAAGATACGCAGAGAACAGCGTTTGAATACCTCGAAAACGAACTCGTCGATTTCTGACTTTCTTTCCGAGTGGTTATTTGGCGATTGTTTAGCAAAGAGTGCTCCCGCGTTAGAAAGTAGTACAATTGGCACAGTTCATTGATAACGAAACCAATCTCGTTATGATGAACGCCTGTCCTCCGAGAATCGTATCGTGCATCAAACCGATAATTATATCTCGCGGCGGAATGACCGAATGTCGAAACAAAAGGGAATGGGGTTATCAAATTCAACCGAGGACATTCACGTCTTACGGCTATGGTTACGAAAACATATTAGAAACCGAAATAATCGCGAACCGGGTGGGAGGGGAAGCCTCGAATACCGTCGAAAAGAATAACAGGATGCGAAAGTATGCGAGTATTTATTTTCATTGCAAGGCTTTACTCTCCGAATTTCTCTTCAGCAAATCGAGTTCTCCTACGAATCTCTTTTACAATTTTAATAAAAATTTTAACTACACGTCTATTTACTGCAAAAGCTAATATGAAATTGCAGAAAATTAACACGGAACACTTATTTGACGCTAATAAGTATCAATTGGTCGCATTTTGGATCACTCTCGAGTCGAATTTCATTTGTAAAAGGGTTAATTTCGACTTATATGGATTCCTCAACCATCGCCTTGGAATTTTTTGCGTTTAACACTAAAAATACCGACAATTATAGTGTGTTTATTTGTATCGAGAATATTGAAACATACACGCTTCAATAGGTGCGCGAAGAAATGTATTATGCAATGGAAATAAGTGTTTATTCATTCTCTTACAGAAAATTGCGATAAATTTCCAAAAATTCGGTCGAGTAAATTTTTACAGGTTTCATTAGAAATTACGACCACATCATTAGTCATTTTGACCACTTTGGTAGTTCTAGTGTTAATAAAATATCGAAAGACTGTTTTGTGATTTTGAAATACTCATTTTGATCAATGATCAAACTATAGGTAAAAATGATTGAAAAAAGAACGTGGATAGTTTTTCGGTGAGAAGACCGTTTCCTCGGCGGTCTGGCGCTATTTCCATACGGTTTTCAAGAAATTTGGATCGTGGGTAATTTACGCGCGGGTCGACAAATCAATTGCGAGTCGAAATTCCAAAGAGCCCGCCGTCCCAGTAAAATTAGATGGCGATCGGCTTCGAACCGCGATCCGTCCCAGAAGTTTTTTTTAGGAAAGCTTAAAATTCGAGCGCCGCCGGTGTCCGATCATAATTTAAATGAATCTGGCTCGGGTTACCGGGGAACGGCGTGCACCTGACAAGAAGCTGATACATCTTCGTTGCGCAAGAGACCGCGCGCAGTAGCGAGGGCGCGTCATTAGTCAGACCCATGAATTACTTCACCGCACCGTCCACCGCGCTATTTTTCTTCCACAGACGAGTCATTCGGCCTTATCTCCACACTTATTCGGTCGTTTCCTGCATTCGTTCTATAATTACGACGATCCAACGTTCTTTTGTCCCCCCGACCACCATTTTTTTCTCCCCCCTCTCTGTCTCGACGCGCCATTTTATAATTTTCTTGCTTCGACGATTCCGTGCTCTCGATCTTTTTACCCGGATTTTGGAATATTTATAGTTGGAAATATCTGGATAGTTTTCGATAACAATGAGAATAGATTAAATCTATCGTGATATTGTGAGATGTAAACAATAGTTTGTACTCCATTTTCCCATTTATTTGCTGGTTTAAAGAAATGTAAGAGTACAGTGGATCGAAGTATACGTATTCTTTGTTCGTTTCTTTTAGGAACCGTAAAAGTCTGTGAAACTTGGCATCGTTAACGCTGGAAAACTTGGAAAAATGACTAAAGAAAATAGGAATCGAGAGAGTGAAACGAACATTCCGCGAAAGCTCGATATTTTGTCCGCGCAGAAGCCGCTGTAAGTTTGTCCCCCTGGTCGTTGTTCGTTTCTTCTCGCGACAGTAATCGTCGATTCGAGTATTTTTAACGGAAACGATGCTCGAAAAAGACGAGGCTCGGTTACATCGCGGGGAACGAAAGAATCTCGGCTCGTTCCAGAATTCCAGACTATTCTTAACGGAGTTGGGACTGTCGCAGAGTCTCGTTCCAAGATTGATATTAAGATCGTCCCCCCTATCACTTTCGTCGCGACTATTCTGGTCGTGTCGTAGAATTTATAATCGCTGTAAACTGGAATCCAGCGGCCACGTGTTGGGGGGGGGGGGGGGCAAAAAAAAGGAAAATATTTCAACGATTTCACGCTATTATCGCGTGGCACGAAGAAGACGTGAGATCTGCAAGGTCGAGGGAAATTTCGCGATGAAATCGATTTCTATCGCGATCCAAGCGAATTTGGGCGAGATTATTCACTGCTACCGGAAGCAGGCTTGTAATTAAGCGGGCAACGATGGCGGAAAGAAGCGGAATAACAGCAGAAATCGTTTAAAATTGATTTAACGGTGGTCAGCCGTGGAGAGGGAACATCTCAGGCTCTTCCCCTACTTGAAACCAGCCAAATTTAGCTACCGTCGATCCCAGATTCCAGGTTATTAAAAGTGGGCGTGGTTATGCGCTGGAACAGCCGAGAAAACGAAGGAGGTAACAGGTGTAAGGTGTATTTATACGTTGGTACACTTACATGCGTCATCGCGAAACTTCTTCGCCGTTCGTCTTCCTTCGAGAGATTCTCTTGGTACCCCGTATCAATTAACGAATCTCTTACCATCACTCGCTTCGACGAATATTCCATTCCTTCCGTCGATTCTGATCGCTGGTAGCATTCCTGAATCCCACGATCTTCGAAACAAATACCATTATTTGTTATAAACTTTCCAATCGTTTACATGGCTGGAAAATAGCTTTGGACCGGACCAGACCATCGAGTTAAATCAGCTATCCTGAAACATGGAAGTTAAATTAAATCTCCGATCGAGGGACTTTGGTACTCAACTTGCGAATATTTTCCAAAAATTCCTCCAACTATTCTTATTTTACTAAATATTTTGTTTCCTCTATCGATTGTAATCGTCACGATAGCAACTTTCTAACACTTTCTAGAAACAAAATGGATGATATAATTAATTCCAATTTGTTCACACGGCTGGAAAATAATTTTGATTTAAAATTATAAAATAAACGTAAAATGTAAAATCAATTTCCTTTTATAAGCTGTCGAAGTCTGCTTATCGTAAATGAAATTTGGTTTAAGGCCACGTTCGACTCCCTCGAACAGTTTAGCTGTTTTCTCGATTTACGACAGTTCTCTTGCAACAAATGATACCCACGCCCACGCGACACCCGTGTACTTGCTAAAATACACCACTTATTTACGTTTCCGTGTTTCATCGTCGTAATGCAATATCTCTCGGTCTGGATATTAATATCTGGAACAAGCATATTACTCCTGGCGAGTGTTCAAGAACCGTCGAGTATTTTTTTAGATTAGTCGGATGCAACGCGTTTAATTAATCGAACGCGGTTTGCAAACTCTCTATCGAGTCACTATCGTGGGCATATGCTTCTATTCGATGAATTTTTAATTAAATTACATTCCTTCGTGCATCGAAGCCCGAAACCTGGCAAGATTTTATCGTTGACGTTATAAAAAATGTTTGTTAAAAGCTATTGAAAGCTATTAACGCTAGATTTACGGAAACAATCAATTTCACGGATACCAGATTCCATATTTGTCAAACTTTTATCAACTTATGTTGAATTTGTTTGGTGCAATGGCACGAATACATATTCTAATTAAAAGAAAAATCGTATTGTAAGGTAATCGTCAACATGAAAGGTATCAATAAATACATATACGTGCGATCAATGCCCGTAAATCTAATATTAAGAAGGGCAACAGTAAAGTTACGTAATTCATGGCACGAGTGACTACTAATACACATATCTAATACGATATAACTGTATATATTCGCTCCAAACGTGATTGCAATAATAAAACGTAACTTTAAATCTGCGTCAGTGATCTGGTCACTCTGAGAACAAAGTGCAACGAATTGATACTACTTTCGAACGGGAGCATCGAGCAGAGGTGGTCGAGAAAAAGATAGGATGAATTAATTAAAAGAAAAGCGTGGATACCTAACTTTGTTTCGCATCGCAGGATCTCAACGACAGATTCAAAGAAGAAGAAGACTCGAGGAACAACCTGTTCCAAAACAAGAAGAAGCTCGAACAGGAGGTGGCAGGCTTGAAGAAGGACATCGAGGACCTCGAGCTGAATCTCCAGAAATCCGAGGCGGACAAGGCGACGAAGGACCACCAGATCCGCAACTTGAACGACGAGATCGCCCACCAGGACGAGCTGATCAACAAACTGAACAAGGAGAAGAAGAACCAAGGCGAGGTGAACCAGAAGACCGGCGAGGAACTCCAGGCAGCCGAAGACAAAGTCAATCACCTGAACAAAGTCAAACTGAAACTCGAGCATACTCTCGACGAGCTCGAGGATTCCCTCGAACGTGAGAAGAAATCACGGTCAGTGTTCCTCACGATTGAACAGTCCTTCGAACCTTAAAACACTATCATTATTATTTTGAAAGAGATAGTTAGATCCTCACGATTGAAGTTGATTTCTTCGAACCTTAAAAGTTAGATCTTCAAAGTTGCTAGTGATCTAAATATATTCTATTTCGAAGTTTACTTATACGGTGTATGAGACAAAAATTGAGGATTTTTATATTACTTCTTGAAATTTAGTATTACGCAAATTGGTAAATTCGATAATTATTTGTGCAGAGCTGACGTAGAAAAGGCTAAGAGGAAGGTTGAGGGTGATTTGAAGCTCACGCAAGAAGCGGTGGCGGACCTCGAGAGGAACAAGAAGGAGCTCGAGCAGACCATCCAACGCAAGGACAAAGAGCTGTCGTCGTTGACTGCTAAACTCGAGGACGAGCAGTCGTTGGTGGGCAAACTCCAGAAACAGATCAAGGAGCTGCAAGCGCGCATCGAGGAGCTCGAGGAAGAGGTGAGCTCTCGACTGATCATCTTGTTTCAGTGTTTGAATCAGTTGATGGTATATCGAATAACTTGTATTCGTTTGTACAGATCGAAGCTGAACGTGGCTCTCGCGTGAAGGCCGAGAAACAGCGCAGCGACCTTGCACGAGAACTTGAGGAACTTGGCGAACGTCTCGAAGAGGCTGGCGGCGCGACCTCCGCTCAGATCGAGCTCAACAAAAAGAGGGAGGCCGAGCTTAGCAAACTCCGCAGGGACCTCGAGGAAGCCAACATTCAGCACGAGGCCACTCTTGCCAGTTTGCGCAAGAAGCACAACGATGCCGTTGCCGAAATGGGAGAACAGATTGACACACTCAACAAGCTCAAGGCCAGGTACGACGGGGTCAATGGCGCTTATAAATAGTTCTCGACATCAGGAAAACAGAATTCAAATAGAATTTCTCTTTCGATTCGTGGAGCTTCGAAGAAGCTGGATAAAATACAATTTGATACAAAGCTTCCAGTTAACTCGACTAGTTGCTTGGAAATATTTTTTTTGTAACCGCGAGAGACTCGATAGGAATTTGCTACGCAATAGTAATACCGTGTTTTCAATAGGGCCGAAAAGGGCCGCCACGACATCCACTCCGAGCTGAATAATTCTCGCGCCACGACGGATCAGGTGGCCAGGGAAAAGGTACATTAGAAAACGAACACGAGAATGTCAAGACCCTGGTTACACGAGATGATGTCTGTTTTTTCCCCTGTCTTGTGTTTTTTTCATCTAATTCCAGAGCACGAAATCGAAATTCTGTTTTTACGTTCTCTAACTGACCCGGGGACTAGAATTCCTGGGACTTTTTCGTTAAACAATGGTTTCTAGATAGTTGGCTCCCGTTTCTGTAATTAATTTTCAGGTTTTTATCATATGTTTTGAGAGAAAACGTTGTAATTCTGTCCATCCCGATTGCTAATCGTCCTGTTTCGACTCTGTTTTCATGTGAATTAGGGTTGAGAAGGAGAAGGTCCAATACTTCAGCGAATTAAACGACATGCGAGCGAGCGTCGACCACCTGAGCAACGAAAAGGTAAGGATGTATGTTGGAAACTGTTCCTCGATGCAGCAAATTAACGCAACTAACAGCTTCAGAGGCAGCGGAGGACCGGAAACGAGTTCCAGGAGGGCTCCACGAGTCTTCTGAATGTTTTCCTAGATACCCCGCATCGTTGGATAATCCGTTTAGCTTGCAAAGCTTGCTTCCCGTTTGTAACATTCCTGTTTGGCGCTTGGATCTACTTTTGGACGATATTGTACGCCTATAGTCTTCCAACTCGGTTGTAATCTTATCTATAACAATTATTTTCGTGACTTTTTAAAGCTTTGCTCGAACCGTGTATCGCTTAAATTCCTCCAAGCGTAAATCCAAGCAAAATAAATCGCTCCAAGGAGTCCGTCTAACGTAAAGAATCTTGTTGAACAAAGGCCGCCCAAGAGAAGATCGTGAAGCAGCTGCAGCACCAGTTGAACGAGACCCAGGGCAAACTGGAGGAAGTGAACCGCACTTTGAACGACTTCGACGCCGCCAAGAAGAAGCTGTCGATCGAGAACAGCGATCTTCTGCGCCAGCTGGAGGAGGCAGAGTCCCAAGTCAGTCAACTTTCCAAGATCAAGATCTCGTTGACGACGCAGCTCGAGGACACGAAACGACTGGCCGACGAGGAGGGAAGGGAACGCGCCACGCTTCTCGGCAAATTCCGAAACCTGGAACACGACCTGGACAACATTCGGGAACAAGTCGAGGAGGAGGCAGAGGGCAAGGCGGATCTGCAGAGGCAGCTGAGCAAGGCGAACGCGGAAGCGCAACTGTGGCGCACGAAATACGAGTCCGAGGGCGTGGCCAGGGCAGAGGAGCTCGAGGAAGCGAAGAGGAAACTGCAGGCACGATTGGCGGAAGCCGAGGAGACCATAGAGTCACTCAACCAGAAGGTGATCGCTCTCGAGAAGACGAAACAGAGACTGTCGACGGAGGTCGAGGACCTGCAGATCGAGGTGGATCGCGCGACAGCGGTTGCCAACGCTGCGGAGAAGAAACAGAAGGCCTTCGACAAGATTATCGGCGAATGGAAGCTCAAGGTCGACGATCTGGCGGCAGAACTCGACGCCAGCCAGAAGGAATGCCGCAACTACAGCACGGAACTCTTCAGGCTCAGAGGTAAATTATTTCTCTGTCTTTGGAGGAAATGGAACCAAATATCAAACATTATAAAATTCCAAAAACTAATCTTGTTTTGTATTTAAATTAGGTGCATACGAGGAAGGTCAAGAACAATTGGAGGCTGTACGTCGCGAGAACAAGAACCTCGCGGACGAGGTAAAGGATCTGTTGGACCAGATCGGCGAGGGTGGACGCAACATCCACGAAATCGAGAAGGCCAGGAAGCGCCTGGAGGCTGAGAAGGATGAGCTTCAAGCCGCCCTGGAGGAAGCCGAGGCCGCCCTCGAACAAGAGGAGAACAAAGTTCTGCGCAGCCAGCTCGAGCTCAGCCAAGTTCGACAAGAGATCGACCGTCGCATCCAGGAGAAAGAAGAGGAATTCGAGAACACCAGAAAGAACCACCAACGTGCTCTTGACTCCATGCAAGCGTCCCTCGAAGCGGAAGCCAAGGTTGGTCGAGAAGCCTCGTCGTTCTCTTTAACGAGTTCTTTATTTTGAATATTTTATTTTCTGAATCATTTTTTAATATTTATTTACTTGCAAGATTAAATTTGAAATAATTTACAGGGTAAAGCCGAGGCACTGCGCATGAAGAAGAAGCTGGAGGCTGACATCAATGAATTGGAAATCGCTCTGGATCACGCGAACAAAGCGAACGCCGAAGCCCAGAAGAACATCAAGAGATACCAGCAGCAACTGAAGGACGTGCAGACCGCCCTTGAGGAAGAGCAACGGGCGCGCGACGAGGCCAGAGAACTCCTTGGAATCTCCGAACGTCGGGCCAACGCTCTGCAGAACGAACTCGAAGAGAGCCGCACTCTTCTCGAGCAAGCAGATCGCGGACGTCGCCAGGCTGAACAAGAACTGGGCGATTGCCACGAGCAGTTGAACGAACTTGGTGCTCAGAACGCCTCTATATCCGCTGCCAAGAGGAAACTCGAGGCTGAACTCCAGACCCTCCACGTGAGTACACATTTGGATGTTTTGCTGTATTTTAATGGAAAACAAAATGAACGGAGATGATTTTGCTTTCAGTCTGACCTGGACGAACTGTTGAACGAAGCGAAGAATTCCGAGGAGAAGGCGAAGAAAGCAATGGTGGACGCGGCCAGGCTGGCCGACGAGCTCAGAGCCGAACAGGATCACGCTCAGACTCAAGAGAAACTGCGCAAGGCTCTCGAGACGCAGATCAAGGAGCTCCAGGTGCGTCTGGACGAGGCAGAGGCGAACGCCCTGAAGGGCGGCAAGAAGGCCATTCAGAAGCTCGAGCAACGCGTACGCGAGTTGGAGAACGAGCTGGACGGAGAACAGAGGAGACACGCCGATGCTCAGAAGAACCTCCGCAAGTCCGAACGTCGCATCAAGGAACTGAGCTTCCAGGTAAAAATTTATCACCGCATCGTTATCACTTGCTACCCGAATCATCGCGAGCCCTCTGACTTTGCTTTGATGGATTTTAGGCTGACGAGGACCGCAAGAACCACGAGCGTATGCAAGATCTTGTCGACAAACTCCAGCAGAAGATCAAGACGTACAAGAGACAAATCGAGGAAGCCGAGGAAATCGCTGCTCTGAATCTTGCCAAATTCCGTAAAGCCCAACAGGAACTCGAGGAGGCCGAGGAGAGAGCGGATCTTGCCGAACAGGCGATCACCAAGTTCCGCACCAAGGGACGCGGAGGAAGTGCCGCGCGCGGTCTAAGCCCAGCGGTAAGCAAACTCGCCCCGGATCTCGTCTCTTGTTAATTCAACATCGATTCTTTTCATAGCTTCTTCTTTGATATCGTTGAAACATTTAGTGGACCGTTTAGGTGACCATAAATAATATCCCAAATCGCAAGATAGAATGTAGTTTGCACAGAGCAATGCAGGATTTCTAATTCTAAAATCTCTATGTCCTTGTGTAGCCGCAACAGAAGGCCCGCAAGGCGCCTTCCGCAATGGAGTAAAGAACATCATGCCGGTCCATGTAAGTTCGTGCTCGTCTTCGAAGCACGTGTGTGTGTAAAAAGGCAACAGAAACACAACAATCGAAACAATTTTATGTACACTCGTACGCGAGAGTATTCGAACGCTCGCATTTATAATATTCGACTAATAAAATATATGTTGAACTAAAAAGTTTGATATAATATGACACGTATAACAAAGTTTTGCTCCTGAGACTACGTAAATTAAGTTGGCCCACCATTTGGGTTCTGTAACAGCCCTAATTTTGTTTACCACGTTTAAGTAATATTACGAGTTATTTATCTTCCTGATTATTTTATATTATTATTAATGAAAATTGTAACAGACATCTTGAACACTGTTTCCTTTGGACCATCAATGAAACATACTGTATTGAATTATTTTCTAATATTACTTGCGTAATTCTGGGACCCATCTCTTGCTATACGTGTCGTATTGTATGTATATCGAATGCTTCGGTTTAGCTGCACATATTTCATTGGTTGAATGCTATAAATGCAAGTAATTTATATAAATTTTGTGTACGAGTGTAAAACAGAACTGTTGCGTGCCCCTGTCGTCAACGTCTCGTTCTTGAACCTGTGTGATAAGCCGATAACACTTCCGGGGGCGAAGCTTACGAATAAAAAAGCTTGCTCCTCGTCATTAATTAACGATGTGCATTCACCCATCCCAAAGAAATCACGTCAGTTTACGAATAGCTCCTTCTGTATGGAACTTAGATCGGTAACTGCTTGATCGTGATAGAGTAGTCGGTCATGTCACGCGTCCAACAAATTATATGTAACGATCTGGACCATTTAAAATGACAACAATATTTTGCCGGTCGTTTTTCTTTATCCGTTTCAATTTTTCCGTAGTCACTAGATGTCCAACTAAACAAACGAGATTGTTCATAATGAAATAACGAAGAGAGGCGTTAGGACCCTCGAACGAATCGATTCCTACTGTTGTTTGTCGAGGCGACAAATACTCGAACGAACCAAGGACACAAAGAACGTGTCGCCTGATCCCTGAAAATGTTTTTTTCATTTATTAATCTACGATGAAATGTTACTAGACCCTCGTTAGGGATGGGATTAAGAATAATCAGAGAAAGTGTCTCTTCCAACTTTAAAATACAAAGTGTTCCGGGATGGAGGATGATTATTCGTGGAAGACCAAGTCGAATGGAAAGTATAAAATTGTTTCACGTGGAGCTTCGTTTTCGAGGAACTCGCGGATAAGCGTGGAATTGAATTTAAGTAGAAATACCGAGTGATAGCCAGGCAAAGAATGATGGCGGCCATATAAGTTTTCAAATTCATTTCGAAAACGAAGTATTATGGGAAACAGTTTTTTCATTCCACAAGATCGACTTGTTTCTTTACTGTAAAATCATTCCCCTACCCCTTGCTGATTTTACCACGATTACTAGGATACCCTGTGTTAGGTATAACGTTACTTTATTTTATTCTTCAAGTCGATATACTTGAAACCATAACTACTTGCTTTTCAGGAATATATTATAAAAATTAAACGTACAAATTTAATTTACTATTATGGTAGAAAATTCTTTAAATCAGTGTACTTGTATTCGTGAATATATATTGTACTTGATCCCATCACTAAAACATAAACAATGTTTTTTTTTTTTTAAACTTGTATCATTTGATAGCATTGTACTATACAGGGTGTTCGAAAAATTTTAATACAAGATTCTAGAGGCCAAAATGAGACCAAAATCAAGAATATCAATTTGTTGATGGAGGCTTCATTAACAAGTTATTAACATTTAAAGATCCGTGCCAGTACTGAATTTTTTTCTCAAAAATGCGCAGAATTTCGGGGGTATGTCTATTCACCAAAAATGATTGTAATTTACCCCCGCAACCGAAAATAATTTTTCTAAAACGGTTTGAAATTTTTTTTTTCATCGAAAAATTTGTCCACGTTCTGGAATTTTTTTCTCAAAAATGCGTAGGAATTCAGGGGTATGTGTAATGACCAAAAATGATTATAATTGAACCCCGTAACCGAATATATTTTTTCCAAAACGGTTTGAAATTTTTTTTTTCATCGAAAAATATGTCCACATTCCTGAATTTTTTTCTCGAAAATGCGTAGGAATTCAGGGGTATGTGAAATGACCAAAAATGATTATAATTAACCCCCGTAACCGAAAATAATTTTTCTAAAACGGTTTGAAATTTTTTTTTTCACCAAAAAATTTGTCTACATTCCTGAATTTTGTTCTCGAAAATGCGTAGGAATTCGGTATTATGTCAAATGACCAAAAATGATCGCAATCGTCCCTTGTAACCAACCATAATTTTTTCAGAATGATTTGAAATTTTTTAATAATTTTTTAACGAAGCCTCGGTCAAGAAATTTTCGTCTTATTTTACCTTCCAGAATCTCCCATTAAAATTTGTCCCATGGTTGGCCGAACACTCCGTATGTTCTAAAATCATACTCGTACGAATTTTCAATATCTGTTCATTATTTACCAAGGAATGAAACATTGCATTCGCGCTTTTGAACAAATTTCACCGACTCGTCGTGCGAGTTGGGAACACAGACGCAAAGAATAACGATTGTCAATTTGTTTTTCAGCCACACCGACCTACGTTCAAACCCCAATTGGATGGTTCCTCATTCCCGCCACGCTTCGACCTGCAGCCCGATGGTGAACTGTAAAGATCGACGCGACCAACTTAACCCGTTAGAGACTCGATCGCAATAGCTTGGCAAACGAAAGGATTAATCGCGAACGAGCGAACTTTCATCGTGTCATCTCGCCAAATAACTCACCCCCATCATATATCACACATTACACACCGACACACCGACGTACAAGTGTACACCAACGATCTTTACTTTCATCGACACGAGAATGTCCACACGTGCTTGGTCACTTTGCCAGTTTCAAAATGAGCGGAGAGAAAAAGAAAAAAATAGAAGAAGGATAAAAATCACAAAGAAATTAAACGTTTCCTCGTTTCAAACATTGGAATAATATCGAATCGTTCGGGAACAGATTAGGGATACTAAACGTGGGAAGGGATAATTAATCAATTACCTTTCACCACTCGCGCTGACGGTCGAGGAAAGAGAGAGAGAGTGAACAAGTGAGAGTGAAAGAGCAAGAGAGAAAACGAGAGAAAGGAAAGATGCGAGCGGTCGAGATGAGAGGCGAACCAAATACGAAAAGAAAAAAAAGAACAATGAAGTTTCAAACATATACGGATGTACGTGCACACTGGCATACGCGCGAATCAAGCGGACGAAAACGATATATACTCGTAATTAAGAAAATAAATTCATCGCAAGAAAGTGAACGAAAACTAAAAAAAAAAAAAATTAAATAAATTTCAAAAGCACGAGATTACACGTTATGAGAAGACAAGCAACGAATACGAATTTAAACGCTAGTCGCGGATTTTCACGGCGGCGCGCATATTATACATGTCACCCAAATGATAATCCTATCCTATAAACTTAATTGTAATTTATAAAGAGAGCCGAAATATGTATTTATTAAAGTAAATAAGCAATAAATAAAGTTAAGAACTAAAACGAACATTTGTTATTTTACGTAGCGACCCCCCTTTACGAAAATACGTGTTAATTGTATTAAATTTTAGGTGTCACGAGTGTCCCGGATGCGAATAAGCAGAGAAAATTTGATTTTACAACTTGTTTCGAAACTTTGGGACCTTTCTTCGAGAGCAAAAAGTCCTGTACCATGCTTCGTTGTCAAGATATAGAAGAACTCGATACATTTTTACACTGGTATTAATAAACGCATAATTCTTCTTACACCCTTCTTGTTAAATGCTTTAAAGATTTATGATCACGATCACACCGCGTTTAGACAGAAATTACGGTGTAATTACAGTGTAATTGATCCAATCATAATTCATTTTTTAAATATAATATTTAATTTTATTACGACGAATTAAAATCGTCACTGGTAGAGCAAGGGATTAAATAAATTAACAAATTACTATTGAAACCAATTTAACAAACATGTTTGATCGGTTGTTTGCAGACTGAATCGCAATATCGATGGAAGATAGACATAGAAGTGGTAAAGAAATTTTACATCGAACTGGATTCGAGAGAATAGACTGTCGAGAAGGTGAGAACGCCAAAGTTGCGTCGAAATACGTAAGAATCCAGAGTATAAAAAAAATCGCAATTATGTCCACGAAATTATGTTACAAAATTTACCCTTTTATAATAGAATTTTTTTTTTAGACCAAGACTAATTGAAACTAGTGTCAAATTGATTGTTCCAATTAAATTTAAACGATTTCAAATTTATAAAATTGAAAGATTTTAAATTTAAATTTAAATTTAAGATTATCCTTTTATATTGGAATTTTTTTTTTTAGACCAAGACTAATTGAAACTAGTGTAAAATTGATTGTTTTAAATTAAATTAAAAAAATTAAAAGATTTTAAATTTAAATTTTGATAAAAAAGCAATTTCTCGATTTAGTAATGATCGAAAATATTTAATATCATTTGGAAATGTATTAAATATTTATTTTCGTTTACTATAACATACATAATTCGTTTCTTATAGTAGCTTATCGTTTCGGGGTCAGAGTGCTCAGATTCCGACATTTTGTTATCATTATATATATAAACGGAAAAACATTGCATTTCACTACGTTGTTTCCTTTAAAGCAGCGTGCTCTCTCGTCGAATTGTGCTGTGCCTTGTACATTATTTTTGTTGGGCGATTTAATAAGAAACAATTGCGAGCATCAAGGTATGTCCTAGTCGTTAGACAAATCTTTCTTAGTCGTTGCAACGCGAAAATAGAACGAAGAGTAACAAACACGCGTTATATTTGTTGCTTGTTGGAAATTTAATTGGAACATCGATTATAATATTTAAAAAGGTGAAACGTTGCTTGAACTTTGAAGATTTTTTATTAAGAAGTCATCCCGGAGGGGAGATAATTAATTGACAACAAAGTTTATAAAATTCTGTGACATAATTAACATAAGGTATTTTTGCAAAACAGTAAAATTAAATTGATAAATCAACGATAATGTTTAACAGTAATTAATATAAATAAGATTGTAGACAGAACCATCTTGAAAAAACTCGGAATGACAGATTATTTGAATATCAATTATTCAAATGATTATTGGAAAATTTTAGGAATAGTTTAAGTTGGCAACCATTTATTATATTGTGTTGGCACCACATGGGATGCCCCCGCGATGGTTACTCTCTCTTCCGGTTTTGATATGTTTCGTAAAACGTACTAATGTATTTATTAATCCAAATATACATATAATTGTAAGTTACATATTAAATATAGTATAATAAATGTTAAAACGCATCAGGAAATGGAAAGGAAACTCCAAACATGAAAAGACACCGAGATATGTATACTTTATAATGACAGAAATGATTAGGATGCGAGTCTCCGTCGTGCAAAAGTTGAGTACCGGGTATTTTAATGGGTAAAAAGAACGAATGCAATAAACATGAGAAAGAAAAACAGTGATAACATAACAGTCGAACGCACACGCGTCGACTGAAGACGACAGACAGATTATAGAGTATAGAGTGCATAAGAGAAAGTTGCACGTCACATCGCAAGGTGGCTCAGCTCGAGCGCCTCTTACGGGCAATAGTCTAAGCATTGAAAGCGCGGTAATTTTAAACAAAAGTTCACACATGCTTAACAATAACTACACTGCTATTTACATTTTCAATTTTATGTCCACATTTCAAGTATCCAAGTTTAATAAGTCAACTTATACTAAAAATGGCGCGTTGTACTTGAACTATAAAAATAAGTAAAGCAGGAAACTGTTTAGTTTATCCACAGTTTATACATAATCTAAGTCCAGAATTACGAGAATTAAAAATAAAGAATCAAGACAAACAGTTTCAAGAAATATTTAGATTTCATAATTAATTTCTATCAAAGAATGGAAACGTCTTGTCTCGTCTCGATCATTGCCCCCAAATAAAGCTTGTTACCAGTTTCATCATGTTATTTTCCATCTATGTATAAAGTATACACGCTCGATTATTCAAAATAGTCGCAATAGATATTGATTTGCCAACTTAATCTTCACGAGTTACGTTATAAAAGCAATATTATCGGTTGTTTATACAAGAGCGGTTAATACCACGATTATGACTCGTTTTCACAATTTCTTTTCGATAATATTTCCGAGAGATCTTTCCGTCGCGGTTATTAATAACGTTGTTTACGTAGAGCAATGCACGGGTGGAATGAAATCGTAATCAAAATACGTTGCGTCATAATCGATTTACGTAATTTAAACGATCCGAAACTATTTCGCAAATACGTATTACGAAGATAGTAGATAGTGGGTTAATTACACAGCTCTCACTGCCAATTTCTCAATGTTTACAAATTACACGCCATACGGTGTAAACACATTGACAAATTAATTTTTTAAAAATACGTTAAACATGGAAAATAATTGCAATTAAAAATTTAAAAAAATTCTCTTTTGACGCCTTTGGTGGAAACAGTGTTAAAATAGAAAATTATTATAATATTCAGGTGGGTCATGGAGAACTCTGTTAGCTCGATACCAGGTCTAAAACCGTTTCCGGAAAGACACGACAAATTCAAAACGCCGCGCGCTTTCCTCGAAGGAAGGAGTAAAATCGATGGCGCGGAGGGCCTATGGAGGATCAGAGATCGTTTATACGATCTCGAAACATTTGCCAAGTTCCATCCAGGAGGAGAAGAATGGATTCGTCTCACCAAAAATACCGATATCACGGAATTGTTTGAGGTAGCTATTGCCTATTGATAACAGAAAATGCAACAACATTAAAGGGTTTTCTAAATAAAATGAAAACTACAAAAGATAATCTGGTGTTCATTGTTTTATTTCGATATTATACAGTAGGAATATTTGTCAACGACCAAAACAATCGCTTGGAATTTGCCCGCCAAACAACGAATTGTAAGTTCAACCGATTCGAACAAGCGGATAACAAATATGGCGGCTATGGAGATCGAAAGTTCTATGGCCCTCGTTGAAAAACCTTATAGCTTCCTGTTGGAAACAATATTGGTGTTTTGTCGGACATAATATGTGTTGTGGTATTTATTGTTAAATACCATTATAAACTCTTATATCTACTACTTGTTGTTAGCAACAATTACCCACAAAAACTGTTAGGTAGCCACGATATATGCAGAAGCTGCCTCGAATGCACGTGCTCGACGTGTTCCCCTGTCGAACCCAACACGGTTGGGTTAGATTTGGGTTAGGTCCCAACCAAACCCTTTGTCCTCTCTATCCACGCGGATAACAAATATGGCGGCCATGGAGATCGAAAGTTCTATGGCCCTCGTTGAGAAACCTTATAGTCTCCTGTTGGAAACAATATTGATGTTCTATCGGAGATAATATGTGTAGCAAATTTTCCTAACCAAGATCTTTCTTTGCAGACTCATCATCTGACCGATAAGGCTGCGTCTCTTCTGCCCAAGTATTACATAAGGGAAGCAGTTTCCGAACGATCGGTGCCATTGACGTTCGAACCAAATGGATTTTATAATACGTTCAAGAAACGCGCCTTGGAGGCTCTGAAAGATGTAGATTTCCATCGACCCTCGAAGAAGACGAATCTCATCGCCGATTCCCTCGCTACAACTGCTGTTCTTTTGAGCCTCCTCGCAGCTTTTGCGCAATCTTATTTAGTACTTTGCGCAGCTGGTCAGTAAAACACACCGTTACGGGCATTGATTAGGAAATAATAATACCGAATGAATCATTTGCGAGAAGTGCAATCTATTAACACCGTTTCTATAATTTACGTTTCATGAAATAATCGAGATTCTGATATTCTCAGGAGTGTTCCTAGCTTGGACAACGATAATCGCCCACAATTATTTCCACATGCGGAACAACTTTCGAATGTATTATTTCGATCTAAGCTCGATGTCGTCGAAGGATTGGCGCATAACGCACGTTATGAGCCATCATATATATCCAAATACTATTTGGGATTACGAAATTTACGTGGCCGAGCCGTTCCTCCAGTGGCTTCCGGATAAAACAAAGTCCACGTTTAAAAGTATTGCCAGCCAGATTGCAAGCCCCATCGTTTGGTCTCTGATGTTCATTTCAAATCTGGTCAAAAGGTTTCTATGTTACTTTTTATACTTTCATCGTTATTCAATCTTCTTAAAATTAGGAGATTCTAGAGGCCAAAATAAAACGAAAATCAAGAATGTTAATTTGTCGATCGAGGCTTCGTTGAAAAGTTATTAACGTTTAAAGTTCCGCCTGTAAAACGGCAATCTGCAACACAGTTGCGTGCGCATGATAGTGGTTCTACATTCAGAAAACTGTAAGGCTGTCGATACGTCACTCAGTAGAGTTTCTCACGCTGAGTGAGGACCACTGTCATGCGCGCGCAGCTGTTCGCAGATTGCTGTTCCACAGACGGAACTTTAAACGTTAATAACTTTTTAACGAGGCCACGATCAACAAATTGCTATTCTTCATTTTCTTCTTATTTTGCTCTCTAGAATCTTTTGTTAAAATTTTTTCATTTAAATTAAAAAATAAATACGAGTACAATAGAAAACATTATCACAATTCGCTAATAGTAATAAAATTTGTTTGTTTTAGGTATTATTCCATATACTTCGAGTACGGGAAATTCGAATTTCGCGACGCAGTGCCTTTATTGCTGCCCTCTTTAATGTGTTTCTTCGCGCCAAGCGTTCTGATGGGTTTGAAATTCTGGTTATTGGTACTCGTAATAAGCAGCTTTCTGTTCTCCATGATCGGTTTTAACGCTGCCCATCATCACCCTGACATCTTCCACGACGGCGATATATACAGGTTCGTTCGTATTAAATACGATACATATACAGGGTGTTCGGGAAAAATTTCAAATCTTTCTGGAAAAATTCTTTTATCGAAAATAAATTTGTTTTTAAAAGCAATTTTGATAAAAAACAGTTTTTTGAAAAATCGTGAGGACTAATTCATGCTTCACCCTGTATATAAAGTTGTAAATAAATGTATAAAAAAAACAGTATAAATTGAAAAATTCATACACTTTTTAAGTTCATGAGAAATGGAAATAAAATTTTGTAGAGTGTTTGAAGATTCGTAAGTTCGTAATTAATGTGAAAAAATGATTTTGTTATTCGTGAAAAATGCTAGGTTTAATTCTAGAACCTGTAGCATTTCCGTATGGAAAAATGTATGATATTTTTTAGGGACGATCTCGATTGGGGTCTGCTAGAATTGGATGCCGTTAGAGAACGAAAAGTAATCGACGATTCCGATTTCCTTGTACTGACTAATTTCGGGTTGCACGGTCTTCATCATTTACTGCCAACCGTGGACCATTCTTATTTGCCACTTTGCGAGGAGGCATTCGAAAAGACTTGCAAGGAATTTAAAATCGATACAGAGAGGTGGACGCAATGGGAACTGATTAAAGGGCAGTTTCAACAATTAATGCGCAATGAACCGAAAAAGAATTACAGATAGAGTATCCGTATGAACGTAATTAATTGCACGATTGATGGAGTTATAGCAAATTATAGTTTTTGGCTGTTTAACAATAAGGAAACCTGTTTGTACAGAGTATACTTCTTAATGTACTAATTATACTTTGCTTAATATTTTAATATTCGAAGCGTCCTCTGAATAACTTCGATACAGCTACCTTGTAGAACTTTTGAAGGAATGCTACTGGGAAAATTAATATTTAATTAAATTACATTATATTACCGTGTACAATGATAATTATAATAATTAAGCAAATGTGATATTAATGCATACAGAAAACAATAATTATTCTCTATATATTATATTTTTTTTTTTTATTCTTTACCCGTTTCTTTTATTTTATTATTCGTACGTAATTTGACCTCTTAAATATAAATATGAAATGTTTATTACGTATTAATCGGCAGGAATAACGTATAATAGCGATAAGTTAATAAATATTTTGAAAATGTTTACATTGATGGAGGGACTACTTTGTTACGCGCATGCGTGCGTTGACGCGTAGTTAGCCGGCTGTACCTAGCCCGCCATTTCTTACTTATTAAAATAACTGCCAAACCAACCGGTTCGTACGCGGTGTTTCTTATTTCCTATCTATATCGACGAATATAATGTACAAGATTGGATGATCTATCCGGGTAAATATTTCTTTGAAATTTTACCATTATATTGTTACATTTTGTTATCACCTGTTTACCAAATACAATATTCAAATGTCTAACTGAAACGAAAGGTATATTCCTAACAAACGGACCTTTCACTGATCGGGGTGAGTTATATGCCATTCGATTCGTCTAATTCAGTACATTATTAATACGCGTTTCATTATTTGCGGGAATTCGTTTCTTTTGTTTAAACTTGTCGGAAAGTTGCGATAACAAAGTAAGGTTAAGTATATTTTGATAGGTTCGTACAGCCAATCGACCATTATTTGCCGTATAAAATAAGATCATTTGCAAAGCAGTATTTTTATTTAATTTTAGTTATATAATAATATGATATTGCTCGTAATTGTATGTCAGCATATATGTTAATTTTAAGACATCTGGAGCTGAGTTAGTATATATTTTTGTAAACATGTTCATGTTCCATTGCTTTATAACGTGTGGCATTAAAAGATGACAATTACTATTTTTGGTATAACGAAACATAATATTTTTCTTTTCAGTAGCATATTTATACTATATTCATATTTGTGGAAAATGGCAACTCCGAAAAATATAGCAGACATGAAGATAAATGCTGCTGTGGATACACCTACTATATCTATGTCTCCACTGCGGCGGAAATCAGTTTTTTCGCGTAAAGTTATTGGTACTCCTACTCTCTTAGAGAATGACGACGAAACAGAACGTTTGATTTTTCGCCGTGAAACTAATGCTACTTCGACGCCAATAATTAAGAATACAAGTGGTAGAAGAAGTTCTATAGGCCTTAGTTCCTTAGTAAATGTACCTACGTCTCAAATGACAGAGCATATATCTCAATGTATAAAGCTCGGAACTGAAAATAAAATTAATCCACGAAATGCATTCAGCTTAAAAATAATTGATTTTATGGCATATTTGATCAAGAAACAAGATGACAAAATGAATAACTTGCAAGTAGCTAGCACGTCGTTGGATGTGAGTACTCAGATTTATGGGCATAGAGTCGACGGTGTACATACGGAGATACTTAAAATGATGGATGGAATGGACATCGGTGAGAAAAATAATATGAATGCAAATGCAATGGACGTTAATGGAGGAAATGAGAATCAATTAGAAGATCCAGCAAAGAAAAGGAAAAGGAAAAATAGACAGCAAATATTTAGCACGGTCGAAAATTTAAGAACAAATGTAGAAACTAGGAAACCTTCTCTAATAACTATGGAAGAAGATTTACAAAGCACAGATATGTTGCGTCAAGTAACGTTACCGATTCACGCGAATTCTAGATTTTATTTACATCCATATAATGATGTTTTGTTAGACTCGGTAGATTATAAAAGAATACAAAGCAAAGACATAAGTTGTAGTACTTTGAGAATAGGAGGTTTGTCAAATATGCAAATTTGTCCACCTTTACATCATTTCAATTTTCAAAATTTCAACGAGGATGATGAAACGGAGAAGGATCTAGGGGAACAAACTAGTGATAGCAGGTTTCAATTTGATCTTGATGCAAGCATATCGCAGGAGGATGACCACCCATGTACAAACATGGATTATTTTAATGTCGAAGAGAACGAAGAGGAAAATGTAAATAGATACGCTAAACATCCTGATCAAGTACAGAACCTTGTAGATTTTCAGGAAGTTTTGAGTACCTCTGTACCGACAAAAGTCTCCGAATATTCATTTATTCCAAAAAATTTGAATTTACATTGGGCAATTCCAACATATTGGAGAAATACAAATTTCCGAAAAATGTTAACAAACAGCGGAGTAGTTGAAACGTGCCATCAGGCGCCCAACAAGAGAAGAAAAGAAATAGAACTGTGTTATAATGATGACACGGTTAATAGTGTAAATGATAAATTTTTACCTGGAAAAGGAATTACACTAAATCGTCAGACAACTAAAAGAAATTGGAAGGAGGAAATACTAACATTACCACCAGATAAACATTACGATGTTGCGCAAGCTACTAAATTATATCTCCATCCAATGATAGCTCCAAAAAGGAGGGATGTAGTAAGTAGTACTTGCTTACCTGACGCAGATCACAATTATGGCGATGAATGCGAAGTAACCCGTAATTCTCAGTCAGATAACAATGAATGCAGAGAAACTGCAGAAAATAATGTAATCGATAATGTTATGGGATCCGAAGATGAAATTATGCCAGAATCACAGCCATTCACCGGAAACAATCTCGTCACTGCTCCCAAATTAACGAATAAGTTCTCCATTAATTATTGCGTACGTGAAAAAAAGATCGATATGGGACAATTGAAAAAATCCATTTGGAAATGCTTAATTACAGATGATAGCAAAAAAATTAAAAATTCACAAGCATCAAATGAAAATGTACAACAAAATGTTTGTGATAGAATGAATGAGAAAAAATACTTTAGTGAAATTTATAAAGAACTACCAAATACATTAACAAAAGATAATAGTAAGGAATTGAGTTATCCAATTGCCTTTGTGTCTTTGTTACATCTAGCAAATGAGAAGTCATTGAAAATAACTTCTTCGCCCGATGTCTCTGACCTTACTATAGAACAAGATTGAATATAACATTTGTAAACGTTTTGTACGAATGTGTTGTATAAAAAGTAAATATATTCTTATGGTTAGAAATTTCTATTACATTTTTGACAAAATGTAATAATACTTTGTTATATAATAAATTATTTACATTTTTTATATACTTTCTTATTTGCCAATACTACTCTGTGACTGTACTCTGTACTCTGTGCTCTTCACTTTACATTTTACGTGCTTGGTTTGTTTTATCACAGACGAGGCATACGAGTAGACCTTACATACAAATGTATTTTTTTGGCCCATTTTTCTGGGATCCTAGAGACCTATTGCATTCAATCCATAAGGTGAAAAGTCTGCTCGTATACCTTATGAATTTTCGTGGTTCAAATTTACCGCCATACCGACCTAAAAATTGAGAAGTGATTTTAGCGACCTCTTCTCATGGATGGCGGTCAGTTGAGAAACTCACTGAATTAGTGCAGGCAAACAGACTAGTGTGGGTAAATGCATATGAATTGACGAGTACGAATTATTCGCGATTCTTTGACTAGTTAAAGTCGTAAATAATTTGCATGTAATCATCAAAGTGAATAATGTTAACAAATTTAAGAATCTTGTCAAGGTATTTACGTTGTCTAGTAAGTCTCCGTTCATTCGTTTTGTATTCGCGGTTTCTACCCGAGGCATCCCTCGGGTTCGTAATACAAGCTTCGCGAGACGTCGGCCTTTCCCCCACCCCGCCGCCTAATTCGCGAGCGTTACCGAGCACAGCCGAAGAGCCATCATTCGTACATTGAAAATTAACGAAGAAAGACGTATCGGCGTTTCGCGACCGAAGTACGTAATTTTAACCTGTTGATCTTTCCATTATTACTACTCGCGTTTTAATTACGATCTCTTGCTATACGGTTTCGATTTAATCATTATAATAATCGTTTATGAACTTTAATGGATCTTTATTTCGTTTCTGTTGCAGTCTCTTATTGGAATTCGAAATCAAGAAATTCCTTTTCGAAATACAAGAAATAATAAGACGTGTCGGGACCAACGAAGCACGTATTTCTAACCTTTCGATATTTCCTCATTGTTATCAATTATTGTTTAATCATCGTTTAATTTGTATTTTATTTCTGTTGCAGTCCCTGATTGAAATTCGACGCCATGGGAAATTGGCGCGTAAACGACACCATAACAGATGGCAGACCAGTCGACAAATTTTGGAGGGAATATTGGTAACGTTCAAACTATTATAACAAAAATTATCGTGCATATTAATATTTATATATTTTTATTTCCTTATTAAATTATTCGTTGCAAGCATGATCATAATTTGCTAATTGGCCATTGTTGAGATAAAATATGATGATCGTTAACAAACTTTTTATCTATTAAAAGTTTAAAGATTCGTAAATATATCAATGGTGGGCAATAGCATCGTACAAAGCGTACATAATTTAAAAATATTAATAACTTTCTTATTACCAGCAGTTTGCTTCTTCCTCAGTGTTTTATTATTTAGTAATATATTATTTGCACCAGGTAGTAATAAACATTTAACAAAGAGTACTATCGGTTTAGGTATTGTTAAATTAAAAGGGTATTGCATAAATTAAACATCGTAGATTCTGATTAATTGCAATTTGTGTTTATTTATTACAATTTTTAATAGTCGTAGTCAAGCTTTGTATAGATTCGTTTGTGTAAGTACTTTGCATCGGGGCACGTGTTATTCACGAATAACGAATACAAATTTTAGACTGATTCGTAAACTGATTTCTGCGTATGTTTCATTTATAAATTAAAATGTATAAATAAATTTATTAAAGCAATATTCGAGCAAGCAAAGCCGCAGACAGAAGCGAATCTAATATTTTTATTCGTTAGTAGCGAACATATTTTGTGCAATTCTGGTATCAGGGATGACGAAGTGAGCTAATTATGGCTCCTTCTCCTAATTTTCTGGTCCACACGAGTATAAAAAAATAACCCCCCACTATAGTTATTATGTAAAGCACCCTAGTTAATCTGGAATGTGGTAGTGGGAGAAGCGGTTGAGAAGTAAAATATATATACATATATGTACATATAGAAATATTACACGAATGATAAATTTTGTGTTGTCTTGCCATCGTCCGAGGATAAAAATTTATAACTCGTCTCTTTCTGGGCTAACTGTTATATCTTTTACGCTTCCAATAAAAAGTGGTACCTTGTTAGGTTTGTATTCGATTACAAACATGAAAGGTCGATCGACCAGAAATTGTTCTGGCATAAGGATCATTCGTCTGAGTCTCATTTGCACAGCTGAAATGAAACATAAAAAAATACTGGTTAAACGTGCTTTTCTTTCATAAAAAATTAACGCACCTGTTGCAGCTGCAGCTTCGGTGCCCTCTTCGTGAACTTCTATCACTGCTTTGTGCAAAACTTTACTGACTTTTAACGGTATACTTGAAATGCCGCTGAAATTTGCGTTGTCCTCGAATATTGTATTTAAGCCGAGCTAAAATATATAATAAAATTCAAATATATAATACAATTTTTTTAGCAATTTGATATGCCAAACGTGTCGCTAATACCTTTCGTAAAATGTTCTCCAAGTCTACCGTAAATTCTATTTTGAATTTCGGAAGAAACAATTCAATTTCGTTGTGCGATCGTTCTGCATTTGCGAGCACTTCCCACGAGAAGTTATTTTGCAAATTTAAAAGTCCATCCTTTTCCGTGGGTAATATTATCGTCATCACGATATCTTTATTCTGCAAGATGGAATCTTTTAAGCTCTCGAACAACCGATTTCAATGCATAAACGTACCATATATGGAATTTCAATAAAGCGCGAGCCCATCGTTGGTAGTTCGCCGTAATCGTATTTACGTTTACTAAACATCATTGATACAAATTTCGATTCAGTTTTCGTCACGTGGAATGTTTTCTTCTCCGTGTTCTTTGGATCGAATTTATGCAACCAAACGCCATTAAAATAAATAGCATTTACCATTACTAGCTTCATATCTTCGTCGAAATCGTCTATATAAAACATTTATATTATTACTATAGTTTATGATCTTCTTTCGCAAATAATAATTTACCTGAAGACACGAGATTAGATATTTTATCATTCGTCGCTTTCTTCACCCACGCATTGATTTTCTCAGCCGCATCTATATTGTGCTTGAAATCTAACTTTGAGATTGAAGACTTGTAAACGTCTGATCCTACTGCCAAAAATTCTGTTTGCAATTCAAATCCATCTTGAATATACATCGCGTTCGCGATGTATAGTTTAACATTTGTCAGCTCCTTGTGAGTACACAAACCATTTGTTATTTTAATTTATCTTTGATTTCGACGCAATACCGATAATCTTACATTTAGCAAAGCTATTAGAGTTGCGTATCCTTCTTTTATAGAATCTTTGTTACGATGGCAAAGACCAACTGTCATTTCATCTAAAGTTTCAGACTCTGCTCCGTGAGAAAGTAAAGACAAGATCATATGTATACTGAACGGTGAAGTAACAATGTTTCCCTCGCTGGTAATGGATAATTCCTAAAATAAATTACATAGTTTCGAAGCCTTGCAGAAATGTTAAACGACTATAGCTAAAACATATATCGCATGGAATTATTCTGTCTGCAAAGGGTTATGGTTTATTAAAATTTCCATACAGAATGTTTAGTTTTACTCACTTTATGAAAAGCTTGTGTAAAGTCATTGCAGGAGATAGAGAAATCTTTATGTAGACTTTTGTTGTCTAAAGACATATTAATCGATTGCGTAGCTGTGAGAGCAACAAAAGTGTTTAAAACTGTAAAGCAAAAAAAGTTATCTCCGTTAATAATTTTAAATGTCGTAAAGATTAATAATGATATCGCAATATAAATATTCCACAATGTGTAACAAATTATCACCTGTAAGTAACGCAAAAAACATTGTCACTTTCGTCGAGTATTAATTCTATTAACAAAATTAGGGAATATTTAATATTGTTTATCGAAAATAACTGTACTTGGAATTATCGAGAGCGAACTGAAAGATTAAACTATTTTTGCTTGGTATAGGTGAATTTTCGCATGAAACTTCAGCGTATAATAATAGAAATAATATGGATATTCAGAAACGTTGAATGAAACATTTTGTGATATGTAATGTATCGATGTATTACAAAACTGGTACTTTGGAAAGAGGTTAGATTCGGCGTCGCAAAATAGAAAGGCGGTCTCACCTGTCAAAAATAGACAAACTGTCAAACTATAGAATAGACGCCTGCGATGTTGTTTAAATTTCGAATAAACGTTAGCGAAAAATTTTTTTGCTTTAATTTGGCGCGTTTAAACGTTTAATAATTGTAGATTCTATTTTTGAAGTATGACTTATCAACACCCATGGAAATATCTATGTTTACAATAGGCAAGGAATGGAAGATATCGGTATCGACGTCATTATAAATTATCGATCGATTTTAGAAATGAAAATGTGCAGTCTAATATTTTACACCGCAAAATGAAAATTGAATTTTTAATAGTTAGAAAGCAATAATTAAAACGAACCTCTTAAAAATTATAATGGTTTTCAGTGCCCATCTAGCACATTTTTGTTATAAATCAGACACTACGTAATAATTTTGTTTCGAAAATTATATTTTCAATTACATACATAATATACATTCTTTTAGCTTTCGCCGCTACGATCAATGTGAATTGTAATTAAAAAAATGATACACATGACAAACATGATCGACCATCGTCGAAGTAATTGGGTAATCGTACAGATATTTGTTTCGTTTATTCTATTTTATAAACGTAAGCTCAATTTCCATGTTTCGCGCAACATGAAATAGTTTACACGCAGATTAGCAGAAACTATTATAAATAAATAAATAAATATTCTCGAATAAATAAATAGATTTAACTCGTGCCGTGTTGTTGGTCTGAAATGAAAGCGTTTAACACGCCCTGCCTTCTCGCGAAAGGACGATGCCGTGTTGTAGGAGGGCTACCTGTACTAACTTATCTTAGACAATGGTAAACTTAAAAAGTTAACAAAGACTGGAAACGCGAAAGAATGCTTTCGTCATTTTTACTACAACGTATCGATAAGTTTCCCAACTACTATAAATAAATACCCGAAAGCTTAATCGCGTCCACGTGAACTTCGATTTCCTCGATTCGAATCCGTCGAGGCTTTATTTCGATTTGAAAACAAAAAGCATTGTACCATAAAAGGAAACTATTTCGAATGAAAAGAAAATTAAATAAGTCGATTTTTATGGTACCAGCGAGTGATTTCATTAAGACCAACCGCGACGATGGAAACTCAGGCGGCAATTACTGCGACGGGCGGCGGTCGTAGCATCGACCTCGTCGCCGACGATAGTTTCTCCGAGACTAAATGAGCAATGTGCGACGATCTCTTCCACACAAATTCTCGCGTTCTGTCGTGGTCGTCCGCGCTCTCCACTCGAACCTGATCAAAGAACAATTCCGATTAATCTCAAAGCACGATAGAATTAGGTTCCAGCGATAGGATTTTTTGGCCTTTGGCGTACTTGTTTAGGTTGTAGTACTCGAATGGAGTTCAAGGTGGCAGCACCGCCGTGGAGAACTCGTAGGCTCAATTTCCCCGACATTTCGGCGGTGGTCGCTGTCGCGCTTCTCACTTCCTTCTTCGCGGCTCTGCCGAATTCCTTCTCGACTTTCAGGATAAGGGGGCCCAGGGTGAATCTTGTTTTAATCATGGTGTGATCGCTCATCATGTTCACGGACACGTCCCCCGATCTCTGAAGGCTCGCGAGCCCGTACAGAGTGGCTCGTGCTTTCGGTTTGTTTTTCTTCGTCTGAAATGTTTCCAATATTATTCAACCCCATGAAACGACATTTTTTAGGTTAAGTAGTGGATCGACTTCCGAAAAGGGCACACTTATCCTTTGTGTATGTCCTTTTCGGAAGTACACCCCAAGTAATTAGCCTTGTAATTACTTTGTTCTTATTGGGTGCCTGGTTTTTCGTTTTGTTCTTCGTCCCGGTCCGAGTTTTATTCGTTTTTTTCGCGTTCGAACCGGATGTTCGTCGATTCGTTGACTTCGTTGCTATTTCCACCACGGTTCTACTCGCGACATCCGGCGTGGACGTAGTGACGGTGTCCTTTTCCAAATTGATCGACGATACAGTGATGTTTTCGAGTCCCACGATTTTCTGTAAAGTAATCAATACATTTTACGTATAAATTAATTTGTCACGTCGTTCCTTTATCATTATCGAACAGTACCTGTGCATTTTCCGAAACTTCCTCGATCGTTTTTTCGGTCGATGTTGAGATCGTTCCCATGGGGGGTTTTCTCGATCCGTTCTTGTTGCTCTTCTTCTTCAATTTGTTCTTGCCTTTCTGCTTATTCGACTTCGATTTCGCGTTCGGGTTGGTCAGCTTCACCGTGACCGGATCGTAATTGCTGCGCAAAATTTTGTTGATCCTCCCGAGGATGTTATCGACGAATCGATTGTACTTCGCCACATAGATGGAAGACACGTCGTTGCTCTGTATCGACTGCATGCCCCCTGAAATACACGCGTACACATTGAAAATAGGGGTCCACTTCCGAAAAGGACATTTTTTTTACACTCTGAATTAAAAAATGTTGGTCCTATCAAGAATAACAACTGGATTGTTGTATCATGAACGTTTATCAGTGTAACATATCTGATACCTTCTGTGATATTGATGCTAGACCTAATCTATTTAAATGTATACACTCAACAGGTCCAACCAAAAAAAGGAAATTTATACTCCTTAGGACAACGTTGTTTTAATTGATAAACTGTTATTTTTGGTGGTTTCGATACGGTATCATTTCCCATCGGTAATGCGTGTGTGTTTGGTAGACGCGAGTGTATCGTGCATCGTTAAGCTCGCGTCTAGCGTTAAGCTATGCGATGAATCGACACGAAAAACTTCCGTGTGCCGACCTCGATGAATTAGGTTCATAAGAAAGAGCGACAATGTTAACGGTATATCGGAATCGTTCGGTGAAGCCAAACTGGTATTCGATCTGGGTCACGACCTGCTTCCTACTCACCTACAGACCTATCTACCTGACCGTGGACGTGAGTACGGGGAACCTTCCTCGTGCCCACCTAAAAACTCTCCCCGGCCGTTGATCCCTCAGCCACTTTCTTCCGGCTGATACACGTAAAAACTAGGCGTTTGACAAATTTTGCCAAGTTCTAACACGGTTATCGCGGATCAACGAAATTACTTCGATCTTGATACCCTCGTCACGGTAGCATATTTGGAATACCAGTTTGCATAGTATCATAGGGGAAAATCAGATAAACTTTTATTTTTAAAACTCGCTGAAACAACGGGGAACGTTTCATTTTAGAAAATATACGAAACGTACCTAAATTATTAAAATTATTAATTTGCTTTACCCGTTACATTTACCACGTGATCTTTCGTACAGAAACATCTTTCGAAATTATTTGATTTGCATAGTTTCTTTTCGATTTTTCTGAGTTATCCGAAAGTTATCAAATTTGTCTCCCTATCGTTTGGATAATCGACGTTTTACACACAGTTAAAATTTATTGGGCGAGTTAATCTGTTAATCGCCACAGTTGGTCTCAATGAAATCCCTCGCTGGCACCATAAAAGCGAACTTATTTAATTTTCTTTTCATTTGAAATAGTTTTCTTTTACGGTACATGCTTTTTGTTTTTAAATAAAAATAAATGGCGCCTCGACCTCGATATAATTAGGCTTTGGGAATTTGTTTAGAGTAAAAATGACGAAAGCAGTCGTTCACCTGATCCGGACCTATCGTTTGCATAATCGACGTTTTACCGTAGTTGAAATTGATTAGGCGCGACGCGTACGACCTTCTAAAAAAGTCCGTCGACCGTGATGGCGGCCTTTCCAATGGCGAAAGAGTTCTCCGACCTCGTGTCGGAGGAGCGTCGATAAAGAGCTTCCGATTAATTTTATCCGAGCGTTAACGAGCAACGAGCATAGACGCTAATTAACTTTCCACGCGATACCCAGACGAGATTCAATAAAGGTGTGACCAGGTTGAAATTTTTTCCCGGCTTTCACCGAGGCGGCCGGTCCAAAACGGAATGAGGCCACCGAGCCAGCAGCGTGCGTGGAGCATAAACGAGCGTGACGGTACCGCAGAGTTCTCTCGTACGCGCGACCCTGACCCACACCGAAAAGTCACGGCTAGATCGTTCTCGATCACCTCGAACTTCACATTTCTTTTTCGATCGAGTCGAACTTTGGTATCACTGGAAGCAACAACGAGTCAGAAATAACGCGTGGGGCTTAAAATTTACGATTTCACGAAGATATATAACAACTTATTAACGCATTACCGACGGGGAACGTCAACCCTGGGAAAAATTTTAATGGAGGATTCTAGAGGCCAAAATAAGACGAAAATCAAGAATATCAATTTGTTGATGGAGGCTTCGTTAAAAAGTTATTAACATATTGAAAATTTTTAAGTTTCAAATCATTCATGGAAAAATTATTTCCGATTGCGGGGGTCGATTACAATTATTTTTGGTCATTACACATACCCCTGAAATCCTACGCACTTTCGAGAAAAAAATTCCAGAAAGTGCGAAATTTTTAGACGAAATAAAAATATTTAAAATCATACTAAAAAAATTATATTTAGTTACAGGGGTCAATTGCAATCATTTTTGGTCGTTACACATACCCTCGAAATCCTACGCACTTTCGAGAAAAAAATTCGAGAAAATGTGAAATTTTACGACGAAAAAAAAAATTTCAAATCGTTCTGGAAAAATTATTTTCGGTTGCGGGGGTCGATTACAATCATTTATGGTGAATAGACATACCCCGGAATTCCTGCGTATTTTCGAGAAAAAAATTCGAGAAGGTGTGAAATTTTCGACGGAACAAAAAAATTTCAAATCGTTTTGGAAAAATTATTTCCGGTTGCGGGGGTCAATTGCAATCATTTTTAGTCATTACAGATACCCCCGAAATCTTGCGCATTTTCTAGAAAAAAATTCGAGAAGGTGTGAAACTTTAAACGTTAATAACTTTTTAACGAAGCCTCCATCGACAAATTGGTATTCTTGATTTTCGTCTTATTTTGGCCTCTAGATTCTCCCATTAAAATTTTTCCCAGGGTTGTCTGAACACCCTGAATAGGAAACCGAGGGGTCGTTCGAGCGCTTGTGAGAACGCGACCCCTCTGGTGGCGAGTATGGAAAACTACGCCACACTGTGTTTCCTTTACCATTATTCACTAAAAATTTCACTGCATGGTAGCCAAATGGTACTGTACAAAATGGCGGTGGGGGGATAAGCTTTTCACAAGTGTGGAATTGCTTTTGATCAGTGTTCGATACGGTGCTTCCACTTGTACAAGCCGTGGAACGCTAGGAATGTGGAAGACACAGGTTTACGTGCTACTGTCCAGTTATGTGCGCGCGGTTATTGTCGCGTGTCGTAAAGCCGTCCACCAAACACGTGCAACTAGGTAACAAAGAAAAGGCAAGAGGAAATTGCAAGCAAGGACTATACTACTGGTTCTACGAACGAGTGGCAAGGCATGCGAGATTCCCCAACAAAATGGAGACACTTTCGGCAACGATCGCTAACCCTTTGATAACAAATTTTACGAACACTTCGATTAACTTTTTGTTCTGTACACTTGACTATGCCAGATCTTTGCCATTTACTACCAATTTATTTTAATTCTCTTTAACACCAGAACTACCGACAATTATAGTGTGTTTATTTGTACCAAAGAAATTAAAAAGATAAATACCTGGAGAAATATATAATGCAATGGAAATAAGCGTTTACATATTCTCTTATAGAAAATTACGATAAATTTTTTACAAGTTTTATTAGAAATTACGAATGGTTAATTTCGACTGATTTGGTAGTTCCAGTGTTAATAAAATATCGAAAGACTGTTTAGTGATTTTGAAATACTCATTTCGATGGGAATAATTCTTCGAAACACAAAGTCGCGTGAATGTAAACAGACCTTAAGACGCCAATGGCTGCAAAGACAACAAGAAAGTGTTTCCAGAAATGGTCCTTTAGCTAAATCGTTCCCGTTAAGTTTCGTTCTCGCCAAGGAAGGGAAAGAGAACTTATCCTCTGGATCACGCGTGGAATCGGTTAATGGTGACGGAAATAAAACTCAAGACACAATATTTTCTTTGTAAAAACAATAAGTTATCTATATTTTGCAATCCAGAACGGACAATGTCTCTGTACAAGCTTCTTTTTTCCAAACAGAAAAAAAAACTCTGCGCGATAAGCAACGCCATTATTGGCCACGTTTCCTCGTCGAGCTAGTTTCTTTGCTCTATCGTCGAATTTAGCGATTCGTGGCTTCGCTAGTGTCGAAAGGTAATTTCCAAAATCGTTAGAATTCTATTGCCAATCGTGGTATTGCTTACCTCGCGAATTAACGATATTTTTAATTTACATTTGCTCTTTTTCTCTCATTATTAACCCCTCAACGTTCATGCTCGAGTTTGACTGCTTTGAAAAACAATATTTGTTTAATCCAACGATTTAAGGGATGATAATATTTGTTTCCCTTCAAATTATAGATACAACATCGTAATTAAGAAAAACCGGTATTTTTAGAAACAAATCCAATACAGAAAACTGATCACTAGACTGCGGATCTTTATGCAAATTCACATTAACGAAACGGAAGCTTCACAGAGGGCTGTCTGACCCCCTAAATATAATAATTCGTATCTTACTTTAAGTATTTCTAATATTTTTGCATATTAAATGCGTTCTGTAGTTGTTTGAGGATTAAAATTTCCCATAAATGCATAAACATCCGCAGTCTACCGATCGCTGTTGGTTGACCCGAGAAATATGAGCGTTGAGGGGTTGAATAGAGACGCGCGAGAAGGGAAAGAAAGCTACGTGACCTGTAAAGTACCTTTTCTCAATTTCGACTGTACAAAAACCGACTTCCGGAAAGTCCGGTGAAAGTTCTGATTTTTCCGGAACTCGCGAAAAAGCAAAGAAACGTCGAAGCACGTACCGCGTGACGTGAGCATGTAGGCGAAGAACGTGACTCGAAAAGAAACGGGCCACTGAAAAAGGTGCTTCGAATTCCTCGTTCCGTTGCCCTCTTCTCGCCGTTCGCGTGCTCGACGGCACTTAGGCGAGCTTCGAATACCTTTGGCTATGTACAATCTCTTGCGATTCACCAAGGCGTTCGTTTAACAGTTACAAAGACGCATGTAATTGGAAGAGGAGGAAGACTACGTGAAGAACGCGCAGTGGAACAAAAAGGCCATTTACATTAACACATTGACGACCAGTGAATCTTTGATAAAAAAATTTTTTAAATTGCTCGAAAAGGCGTGCAATAAAACTGGAATTAAATTAACTCTTAATTGGTATCGTGGATATACTTGAAAATCTAAAAAACAACTAACTTCCTCGCACGATTGTCTTCATTTTACACAGAGAATTTCACAGGGCGTGATATTGATCATAAATAAAAGAAATTTTAGTCAAACTATCCCTCACGATACCGTTTCAGGGTTAATATGCACAGATTCAAGAGAAACTTTTTTTTATTTGGATACAAGTAACTCTGATAGGATCGATAATGTTAGGAAGCAAACAAATCTCGTTTACGATCGCCAATGTGTTAATTTCACCATGCTGTTTCGACGTTGAGGCGTTCTACATTAATAAATAAAATAAATACTACTACTACCGCTACTACTACCATTACTTCTACCACTACTAGGCGTTCGAATGAGTGTACACTTTATGCTAGAAGCACGATAGTCAAAGTAAGAGAGGATCTTACTCGTCGATGATCCGCGAACTGTTCCTCGAACGTTGACGCTCTGAATTCGTTCCTATTAGGATCGGGGCGACGAAAAGGCGGGAAAGAATTCAGTTTTTTGGAACAGTACGCTTAGGGGAAAGAACGCGTTTTTATCACGTAATCGTCGGAGAGGTCAGTTTTACGCGATTCATCGATATTAACACTACATTTACGTGATCTTACGTATGTATATTCATTGATACCTTTCAGGTTAACGATTACCTTGAAATACGATTTTTTCTTTTAATTAGAATATGTATCTATGCCATTGCATCAATTAAATTCAATGTAAGTTGTTGAAAAATAATATTTACGCGTTCTGCAATTTTAAATATGGAATCTGACGTCCGTAAATCTAGTGTTAATTAACCCCTTGCACTCGAAAACGTTTTTTCATTCCCAGGAAATCGTGTTTTAGTATATAAAATTATTTTATTCGATCAATATTCATTTTTAAATCGTATGGAACGTATTTACGAGAGAAAAGAAAATAGAAAAACGAATCGAATCTTCGCCATTTTGTATTTCCCTGACCCGCGATAACGTTTTAGAAACAATGAATTTATTTCCATTTATTTACGAATACTTTCAGCAAATATATAGACTTTTGAGAAATTTGATTTGCGTATTTTTGAAGACAGAGTGCAAAGGGTTGAATGAATGTTTACGAAGAATCGGATGAAATTTTTACGAATTACTTCCGTTCGACTAATTACGGTTTACGCGTTAACGCGCTCGCTGCTTTGAGAACGCATTGGTAGCCACGTTTGGTACAGTTTTCTATTTCCGGTCTACTTGCGGGCACAAGCAGAGTCTTTCGCGCATTCTTATCGCGCCTCGATTAGGTTCATCGAGAATTAATTACGAAAATGAACAGGAAAGGATATTAAAAATACTGCAAAAAACGTAGGATCTCGTTGACGGTTATACGTTGAACGATTTAATAAAGAAATACAGTAATCCCCCCTATAACACGATACGCTTATAACGCGATTTTATGTCCCTCGTATAACACGTGTTTTCCCCCATATAACGCGGGGATTGTTATATTTCTCTACTGTGAAATTTATAACGATTTGCTCAGTTCATGATCAATTTCAATTTTTATTTAAATTTTCTTAGTTTGATTTTAATAAAACGCACGTTTTTCCTTAATATTCGATTTAAACCCCCTTTAACGACGAGAAGTTAAACGTGAATCATTTGTACAATTCTCGTACAACACGGAACCAATCTACCATGTTATAGGGAGGATTACTGTATCTACTTTTTACAAAAAAAAAATTTGAGCATTCTCGTACAACGCGTAACCAATCTACCATGTTATAGGGGGGATTTCTGTATCTACTTTTTACCCCCCAAAAAAACACGATTGTTTCATTTACAAACTAACCATGAAAAGTTTATCAAAAGTATCGAGGCTGTGTTGCGCGAGGCTACCAAAATGTCTGCAGCGAGCTCGTCAGCTAAACCGTAGAGAAAATGAACTCTCGTTCGAGGAACGCGTTCGAAAGATCGTCGACTCCTGGGAATCGTAGTTCGCGACTTTGCCACTCGTCCCTTTTATCCCGGTTAAACCGTCTTCGAGGAGGAGGACGGTACGCGCGTGCGCGTCTTGCGCGTGCCTTTCCGCCCCATACTGTGTTTCTTGCTCTTTCCCTTGAACTCACGTGCTCGTCTGGCGCCAGCGATGTCGGCGATACTGTCTACATCGTCGTCATCCTCGTCGTCGTCCTCCTCATCGTCGTCGTCGTCGTCGTCCTCCGTATAGACGAGATCGACGTCGTCCTCGTCGTCGTCGTCGTCGTCGTCCTCGTCGTCGGCGTCTGCCTCGTTCGTGGACACGGCTGGCACGTGTACCGGGTTCGAGACGGACTCCGACGTCTCGAGGGCCGACTCGTGGACACCGGAGGCACCTTGGCCGTCGGATAACGCGTTACCTTCGTCGTCCTCGGCGCCCGTCGTCTCGCCCTCGAGGGCCGTCGTTTCACCGGCCACCTCGGCCGCGGCTGCCTGTTCCGCTTCCTGGGCGGCGTTCAGGTCAGCCTCCACGGCTGCCGGAAGAGCTGGAGCCAGTGGTTGCGTGGCCGCCGGGACGACTGGCGCCGCGGGACTCGCCTCGTCCTCGTCGTCGTCGTCGTCCTCCTCGCCTGGAATTTTTCAGAAATAAATTAATAGAAATTCAATATAAATCGAATAGAAATTCATAGATATTAGGTTGGTCCGCCAGTATGAGTCTGTTGCCTCGCCGCTAGAGGGCTCGCGCTCTCACAAGCGCTCCACCGAGGCAGGGCCTTCTAGAAACCCTTACGGATTAAGTCCGCTAGTCCACTTTCCTTTTCTTCTACCCTTCTATTATAAATCTTTCTCATGTTCCATAACTCTCATTTCAAATAAGTTTTCTTTTCTTCTTTTCCATCAAGTTAAGGTCAATTTATATTGTTCTGTTCACAATAAATGCAGTTGGTGAAACGAAGACATAGCTCTTTCCTTTACATAGCGACTCAAACACCATCAGACGTTATATCCAGAACGATATTTTTACTAATGCGACGTGTGAACGAAGCTGTTGGGAACGTGTTTAACCCTTTGCACTCCAAATTATATTTCCATTTTGTTACCAGCAGCTCCCCAACGCTTTCAAGTGTTTTATTTGAAATTTACGTTAACTAAAAAATTAAGGAATTTAAACATATAGAGGAACAAACAAATTCAATTAAATATCTGCTTAATAACTGATGTTGTATTTTGTAATTTTCAAGTGTATGATCTCGATGAGTAATGATAAATGAGGCAAAACACTTGAAAAGAATGGAGACGAAATTGGGACTTAAGTAATTATAGCGTTAATTCGTGAACTCGTGAACTCGTGAATTTTCGATTTGAAACGATTCTGGGCGATCGTTTGGGTAAATGGTAAAGTACCGCAACGATCGTTTAAAAAACCGTAATAAACGCGCGAATGGAAGAATGCTCGTAGTTATAGTTAATCTCTCCGGAATGTGGGTCGATGTGGAGAAAAAAAAAGTAGCGCGTAGAAATTCTTTCCGAACTGGGATCGCCGTCGATTTATGTTAATTCGGGCGAGTTTGGAACACCTTGTACCGTTATGGGTACGTGAACGCGCCTGAGTTACCGGTGAACCTGTCGCTAACTCGAGACCCCGAGCATTTGCATAACGGCGAGCGTCGATTTTTAATTTTCTGCCGCTCGGTTTGTACATTTTTCACGCGCGGAAGAGCCAAAGTTGGCCAAATTATGAATAGAAATCTTTTCGTATCGGGAACGAAATCTTTTTTCTGTGTCGACGGTAGATTTACGGATGTTGATCGTGTACCTATTTTCACCGAACAGAGCCAAGTTCACTCATACAACAAAATTCAAGTTTTTTGCACAAAAAAAAATAGTTTCATAATATTATTCTCATAAGTTTTATATACAAAGTGTTCGGGGAAAAATTTAAATGGGGGATTCTAGAGGCCAAAATAAGACGAAAATCAAGAATACCAATTAGTTGATGGAGGCTTCGTTAAAAAGTTATTAACAATTAAATTCAAACATTTCAAATCGTTCTAAAAAAATTATTTTCTGTTGCGAGAGCCAATTACAATCATTTTTGGTCATCACAATTACCCCCGAATTCCTATCCACTTTCTAGAAAAAAATTCGAGAAGGTGTGAAATTTTTCGACGGAAAAATAAATTGTCAAATCGTTCTAAAAAAATTATTTCCAGTCATGAGGGGCAATTACAATCAGTTTTGGTGAATAGACATACCCCCGAAATCCTGCGTATTTTCGAGTAAAAAATTCGAGAAGGTGTGAAATATTCGACAAAATTAAAAAATTTCCAATCGTTCTAAAAAAATTATTATTATTTGCAGGGATCAAGTACAAGCATTTTTGGTCAAACAACATACCCCAAAAATCCTGCGCATTTTCGAGAAAAAAATTCAATACGCGGCAGAACTTCAAACGTTAATAACTTTTTAACAAAGCCTCCATTAACAAATTGATATTCTTGATTTTCGTCTTATTTTGGCCTCTAGAATCCCCCATTAAAATTTTTCCCAGGGTTAGCTGAACACCCTGTGTATAGTAATCAAATTTTTAACAAGTAAAATGGGCTCAGTCCGTAAATCTAGCGTTGAGAATGTTAAACCAGCGAGGATGGATAATATTACCTAGTATATCTTCGATGAAGCGTTCCAAATAATCGGAATCATCGTCATCGTCGTCGTCATCGTCGTCATCATCATCGTCATCGTCGTCGTCGTCATCCCCCGTGATATCGAGGTCGATGTCATCGTCGTCGTCGTCGTCGTCGTCGTCGTCGTCGTCGTCTGCGCTGACCGCAGGCGGTTGTACAGCAGCCTGTCTTCCTGCCTCGACGACGTTCTGATTCGACGACTTCTCCTCTGATATCTTCGGCAACGGCGACGCGATTGTTCCGATCGCCAGGCAGCAAAACACTGCCAATACTATCGCTAGCTTCATGGCTCTGTCAAATAATTCCCAAGAAAAAAAAAAGAAAAAAAATCCAGTTTAATTCAGCATCCCATTTCGTCGTGCGTTAAAACAAGCCTTCCATTTTTCTTTTCACATTCTCTCGAACAATTACGAATTCACGAACATGATAAACCGATAACCATACTTGAAAGTACTTTTGCAAAACTTACCCTACTTTTGAGAATCTTTTTCTTTTATTTCGAACGCGTGGAATCGACTGAAACCCACGATAAGACTACGTTTATCTCTTTCAGTTTTAGAACGTGATTATTTTACTTCGCGGGTAAAATTTCGATGTGAAAGTGTATAATTCTTTGCCAAACAATTGTTCAAATATTTAGATAACAGGAACTATCGCGAATTTGCTTAAATCGCGTCAAAGGATTTTCTTTACTAAAAGAAAAGAAAAGATTAAATTAAGAAAATCGAGAACCTGAAAGTGTATTTGATATGCTACGGTGCAAAATGAAACGTCAGAACGGGAGTACCGTACGGGGGACCGTGAGAGGCTTAACTTTCTCAGGACCCACGAAAGAATCTCATTTAACGCGCGGAATCGTGACCTTCGGCGAGGGACATCGGGATTCTCATGGCGTTTCAGTCCCACACGCGCGTTTCAGCGCATCCTGTACGGTTAACGGTAGGCAAACGAACGTTATCTGGCCATTTTCCAAGGATTCATACTCGTTTAACACTGTCTCTACTAATATAAAACATTCAACTTGAAACTACTTTCGAAGTTCGACGAAGAAAGTCGAAGGTTCAAGATAGCAAAAATAACGTAATTCACGCGTTATTTTCAAACTCATGGACGTCAAAACCACGGTAGAAAAAAGAAAAAGCGCCAACACTAGATCTATCAAATCAATCGTTGCTTCAAATCGATGTAATCCCCGTGATTAATTAATAAATAATTCGCGTCGATTACATCGAAACGTGGATTTTCTTTTGTCGCGTTTAACACATTCCGCGTTTAAAAATTTGTTCTCCGGAACCGGTAATATAAATCGCGTGAAAATTATCTTAAAAGACGTGAAATAAAATCACGAATCGTGTTTCGTTTCAAGCTCTTCGATCAACGCTAAAACGAGAATTTTCGAGACGTTCGGCGGAAGCCTGTACGAGATTTTCGCGGCAAAAGTAACGGGTTCCCCTTTGCACACCTCGACATCAATTTTTATCCCAGGAACTCCTTTATCGAGTCCTGCACATTTTTTCAAGTCCAAACCAAGGAGACATACACTTGAAAATAAAAAAATATAACAATAATGTAAATAAAACAGATATTTCATTGAATTTGTTTTTTAGCTGACGTAAATTTCAAATAAAACACTTAAAAGCGTTGCAAGCTGCTGGTAACAAAATTCAAGTATAATTCGGAGTGCAAAGGGTTAAGGCCCGTTTATTTCTCTATTTCCTTGGCCAAAAAAATCTTTTCAGCATTCTCAGCACCTCGTCCAATCGACTGTACCCGCGCACGAGAATCCGCGACTACCCTCCACTATCGTCGCACACAGTATCACTGAACCCACCCCGCGAGGCAATTGCGATCTCGTTTTCAGGCTGGGAACGTCGATCTGTAAATCCAGCGATGCGACATTCGATCCGTCACGACTCCCAGAAGAGAATTCACCTCGTTGCCCGCTAAATCCCAGGTCGTGTAACATCCACACGGGGGGGAGAAGCGTGTAACCCTCGCGTAACCTTCGGAGGGAGTGTTGAAAAACACCGGTCAACCGTTCCTTCGGACTCACCTCTCTATCTCTCCCTATCTGTATTTTTTAACGTCCTCTTCGGTTAGGAGCACGAGTGACCCGTGTTCTAGACGATATCAGTACGACGACGCGTCTGATCTACCGAGCGACCCGGTGAGAGTATTAAAACAGACGAAGCGCCTCGCTACGACCCTTTTATACCGAGCTCTGCCTCCACCTCCTTCGTTCTCGTTCATCGTCCTCTTTCCCCGATCGGGTATTACACCTTCTTCGTGCTCTCCACGTGGCGCGTTGCGTTTTCTCCCTTTCTTGAGGGGGGGGCCCCCCCTCGTTGCATCGCGACTTTGGTAACGGAGGATCGTCGGTGGCCGTGGCGCGCGACTTTACGGAGACCAGCCATCAGGAATGTTTCCCCCCTGTTGAAAAAGAAATCGAGATAACCGGGGGGGAACCGACCTGTCCTTCACTCCTATAATTTTCAAACGTTCCTGCGTTCTTTCGATCGACCAGGGTGTCCCAGTTATTCTCTATTCTCTCGTCGATGCTCAACTTGGAGCAACTCGTAGAAATCTTGCTTTCTGTAGTTTGTAACTATAGCAACGGAGCTTAAATTTATTGTCTTTGACTAATACGTCGATGTTTGTTTGGAACTATTTTCCCTGTATGAAAAAGCAATCAATTTTATTAAACCATTAAACCAGTTTTATTTAATTGAATTTTTCAATATACAATTTATCAATAACAAATATTTTTCTCTGTGACTTGCTTACTGTATTTTGTATTTTGTACGTAAACAGCATCGGGGCAATTATAGTAACAGAGCTTAAATTTATTGCCTTTGGTATTGTTCCTTTCTGTATTTTGAAAAAGCAATCAATTTTCCATTAAACCATTAAATCAGTCTTATTTAATTGAATTTTTCAATATACAATTTATCAACAATATTTTTCTATGTATTATCATACGGAGAAATTAGATCGTAAGTGCTTGTACTTGTAGGAGCATAAAATTTATACTCTGTATTATTTTTCCCCGCGAGACATGATTTTACTTGTTTACCTGCTGATTACTTCCCCTGAGTTAACTTGGCCGCGGCTATTAACTGGTTAAAAACTATTATTACGATGCGACGTATCAACCATGTCATGTGGTTCACTTCCGACGTAATATTACGCCACGCGAATGCTCCGCAACTAGGAACTAAAGTACCCTTTTCCTTCTTTTCTGTCAAGAGTTACCTTGCGTACACGCAATTTTCACTTGGATATAATTTTGTATCAATTAACAACACCAGATCCGATTTCAATTACAACTGGTCGGATGTTTTGTTGTCCTTTGAATAATCTTGTTTCTATTATTAGCTCCTAATGATTAGAAATATATTTAGTAGAGTCAGTTGCCCTGATATGAAATACTTTTCTTTTTATACATATGTTTCACTTACTTGCAGAGCTTTTATAAAAGACTTAAACGTTATGAATTTATAGAAAAATTATTTTCGGTTGCAGGAGACCATTACAATCATTTTTGGTCAATAGACATAATCTCGAAATCCTACGCACTTCCTAGAAAAAAATTCGAAAAGGCGTGAAATTTTTAGACGAAATTAAAATATTTAAAATCATACTAAAAAAATTATACTTAGTTACAGGGGTCAATTACAATCATTTTTGGTCGTTACACATACACTCGAAATCCTACGCACTTTCGAGAAAAAAATTCCTTACCGAAAATCTAAGGTGCCATTTTTCGACGAAAAAAAAAAATGTCAAATCGTTCTGGAAAAATTATTTTCGGTTGCGGGGGTGAATTACAATCATTTTTGGTCATTACACATACCCTCGAAATCCTACCCACTTTCTAGAAAAAAATTCGAGAAGGCGTGAAATTTTTCGACGGAAAAAAAAATTTCAAATCGTTCTGGAAAAATTATTTTCGGTCGCGGGGGTCAAATGCAATCATTTTTGGTGAATAGACGTACCCCCGAAATCCTGCGCATTTTCGAGAAAAAAATTCAGTACGGACGGAACTGTAAATGTTAATAACTTTTTGACGAAGCCTCCATCAACAAATTGATATTCTTGATTGTCGCCTTATTTTGGCCTCTAGAATCTTCCATTAAAATTTTTCGGGTGGCGGAACACCCTGTATATGTTTGTAAATGAAAAATTTTGAAGATTTTTCTCGACTCGTGGAGGAGATAATTTTCAAAACATAGACATCGGGTTTTTGTACTTTTATCCATCGCTGGGCACACTGTGCGACCGTTTAAATCGAAAGTATGCGAGTGATGCGATCGAAGCGGTCCGAAAATCCGGAATTCTGTTCCAGGAGCGAAAGCACAACGCCTGATCGCTGGAACGATCTAACTGTAAATACTAGACAGCTTCCTTCCACGGTCCAACTACCGATTGATCATACTCCTCTCGCATCCGTCGAGTCATTTTTGTCAACTGTATTCCAGTTTAATCGTCGGCCTCGTCTATTTCACGTTCTGAAACAACTCCCCTTAACGATTATTCGACTTAATCTCCTTTATCCGTTTCCGACACACATTTTCTCGATACCTCGAACCGTGCTCGCGCCATTAACCTTGTACGCGACACAGAAATTTGTAGTAATCTCTGGCTAATCAACCGCGTTTTCTTTTTCTTCTCCGCCAACGAGGTTTACTTTTTCCATCGAACAAATCGCCGGCCACGGCAATTACAGTGACCGATCAAAATGGTACACGACGAGGAAACTAACCTAAAAATTCCATCGACAGGAAGCCATTTGAATTTATGCGCCTGATTATTCATCGGTTCGCTCTCAACTTTAACTTACAATTAGTTTTATTCCGGTTAAACGCGTATCTAGATCCACGTGTTCGATTCGAAGCTCGTTATGATTGTTCGTGTCCGATAAAATGTTGCGAATTCTCGTCTCGAGAAATCGTAACCGTCCCGTGACCGCCGGTTGGTTCCGACAGTCGGTTCGCGTTTTATGCGACGCGCGATTCCACGGCAAGAACAAATGGCGTCGTCTCGAATCTCCATTCGGTTGGAATATGGGATTTGGTGTCACAACGCGCCAAGGAAGTAGTCCGCGGCTTCGTGAATTAGTAATCAGGATGTGTGTCTGCGGCCGGGTGAACGCATTTCGTGTATACACATAACCGCGCTGCTGCCCTCCGCGGCTGGGGGGAGAAAGAGAAATGATCGAGAGAGGATCAAAGGGGTGGGAGTAACGTCCAAGAGCGGGGACGACGAGAACGAAGAGAAAAAGGAACGCGATACGAGCGTAACGGAGAAGCTAAAAGGAGAAAGAATTTTACTAGAAGACGACAAGGAGATGAAAAATTGAAAGAGAAAGTAAAAACGAGAAACAGAGACGAGGGAAGAAAATTACTAGGTGAAATACGACGGGGAAAAAGGAACGACGGAGGGAACTCGAGGAAGCGTAAATCAGGATCGAGATTAATGGAGATTAGGGAACGAAATGAAGTATAAAAATCGCTTCTAGAATTTATTCGCCGTAGAAATTGCAGAAAAGATGAAATAAGATGGAAATCAAGGATACTAATTTGTTGATTGAGTTCATTAAAAGGATAGAATTCTTGCTTTGACGTATGATTTATTCAGACGATCGCCATTACTACCAAGCATATTCTAAATTGTTTCTTTCATTTGGAATAATTTTTTAAATATTTTCACAAATATTATTCAATGGTATTGAAGAATATATCGAAAACTATTATTCCATTGAAAAAGAGCATTACAATTTCTATTCGGACATACCGTCGAATTTATTTTACCGTCAACTTTTCCTCCTAGAATGTTTGTCTATTTTCAACGAACCAGGAGGTATTTACGATTCGTCCCAATTGCATGACGTCGTACCCTGGATACCAATCCTACTTTGGGACTTTTACTTGCCCGACTATCGATGCCTCGAAGAATTCCTAATTTATCAACCATCAGAGCATTCGAAACCTGTAAACGGATCTCGAAGATATTTGAACCGATTTAAATCATTAATCGCGTAAACTGATTCGATATAACTCGACCAACATCACTGCGGGTGTTTATGCCAATAAAATGTGTCTAAATATGTAAGAAACATGTGTCAAATATGTATCAACAATATGCAAGAGTATACAGGAATATGAAAAATATGTTTAACATAATAATGATCAATTGTAATTTGAATTACAATATGTTGTACCACATATTGCCACAAGGTGGCTATGCATTAGGGAGGGTAAGTGGAGGGGCAGTTTCCTTCCAACTCACATGTATTTACGCACACACTACAGCTGTTTGCCCATCCACACTAATCCAATGAGAATAGTTTCTCAACTGACCGCCATTCATGAGAGGAGGGCGCTAAAATCACCTCCGAATTTTCCAGTCGGTATGGCAGTCAGATTGGGCCACGAGAGCCCACAGGGTGAAAAGGTCTGCTCGTACACCTCGTCTGATAGTCTGTGGTTTAAAGAACGGTGATTTCGGGAACTATATGAAACACTGAAATCGGTCAAGTAACTTGACCAAAGTTCGCAAACGCAGAAAATCTCTTACAACACGTACAGGGTTGTAATTTCTCGCAAACGTAACGTTTATTGTAGCTGAAGAACATTTTTGTTTTTAGCTGGACAGTTATTATACTCTGCCTTCCAATGTAAATGAGAATTTGATAGTTTACGTCATAGAAAATTGCTAAATGGCACGACAATGTATCACAATAATACCACCATGCTATAAATATTCCATATATCATGAGTTACCAGACCACCATGCTTTTTTCTTGGACCTCGCGATAAGGAGGTGTTATCTTCAACAAATTAATTGATCTCGTTTAGACGTATATGGAAAAGTACCCATATATGCTCGACTTTCATGAAGAAGTTACTATGCATCAAGTTTTGCTGTCCGACCACAGTATACATATCTGCATAACATTGCAGCAGAATATAGTAGGCCTTTCGATTTCTGAAACAACCAGTTGCGTCCGCGACGTCGCCGCGGCGGTATTGAGTGGGGTGGAGGTTACGTTGTAATATTTATACTTTCCTTGATTCTCCCTTCCACAAATGTTGTTATTGGCGAAACAAGGCAGTGCATAAAGTCCAAGGAAACAACCACGACATTCTTGCATAGTTTAGAAAAAAAATACGGTATGATTACTGTTCAGTATACATATTTTTGTTTGTAATCATTCAATAACACCGCAATTGGATTTGTTGTTCGTTGCTCGGCGATTTGTAATTTTTATTTGTACTCGCTGCTCGATAATGTATTTAAAATAGAAACGCAAGTCATACGCATAAATAATAAACTCGTAAACTCGTAAATTATACATGTCAATACTGTTATTAATATTTAATATCGTGTTTACTACAAAAGGCGCTTGAATTAAAAAAAAAGATTGTATTTGTTATACGTAAATTCAACCAAACATTTTATTATTGTTAAGAATGAAAAGATTAATTTTTAGGTTGCATTTCGACAAGGTTTAGTACACCGACTTTACAAAATGGGCCCTTTAATAATGAGCGTCAGAGTCTGCTCTACCTTTCGTTCAATTTGCACTACTGCGGCTAGACCAATTTCTGCCAATGTAATGCTAAATCCTAAAGACGATGCGAAGGAAGTCGTGTTAAAATATTTGGATGGGAAAGATAACGGTATCGTGGTAGTAGGACTGAACCGACCCTCTGCTCGCAATGCGCTTGGAAAAACTTTAGTCGGTCAGCTAAGCGATGCGATTTCTTGTATCAAAGAGGATACAAAACTGAGAGTGATAATCATCCGCAGCTTAATCCCAAAAATATTTTGTGCCGGCGCAGATTTGCGAGAAAAATTAAAGATGGATAATTCGGAAGTTCCAAAGTTCGTTTGCTCGCTAAGAAATATTATGACCAACATAGAATCATTGCCGACTCCCGTGATATCAGCTATAGACGGCGTAGCTGTAGGTGGAGGATTAGAATTGGCATTAGCCACGGATATAAGGGTAGCGGCCTCCGAAGCTAAAATGGGACTCGTAGAAACAAAATTGGCTATTATACCAGGGGCAGGTGGTACCCAACGGCTTCCAAGAATAGTTGGAGCTGCTAAAGCGAAAGAGCTCATCTACACATCGCGTATACTCGATGGTGAAAACGCCATGAAGATTGGTCTTATAAATGAAGTTGTTCCGCAAAATAAAGATGGTGACGCTGCTTACCAGACTGCTCTCTCCATTGCGAGAGAAATATTACCTAATGGACCGATCGGTGTCAAGTATATATCAAATATACATTATGCTGAATATGAAAATTAGTTATTAAATATTAATATTTTCCAAATTAGCATAACAGATATATAATTTACATACGATTATTAAGTTTCACAGTTTATATTTATAAAGAAGGAATACACAAAGCGTTCGTTAGATAATTTTCGGTCGAAATAATTCGAAAATAATACATTCTCGAGACAAGTGTTTAATAGAAAAGTTTCTCGGTTTCAAGACCGGAAATAGAACTATTTTATTTTACTTTTTATTTGTTAAATGTTTCTCAAGGTTGTTTAAAGGTCAATTTGGTCTTTTCAAATAGGAACACTTACACGAAAAAGGGAAAATTTCTTATCAGACTTAATCTTAAAAGATAAAACGTATTATCTAATCATTGGAAAATCCGCGAACAAAAATACGTTTTCTATCTAAAAAGATCAAATTGACCAAATAACCGTGAAAACACTGAACGAATAAGAAATAAAATCCAATCTTTTCGAACTATTTCGACCGTAACTTTGAAACAAACGCTTTGAGTAACAATTCTCACGCTTCTCGTATCGATTTGTTCTTCAACAAATGATATTAACACTTTTTTTTTCTCTGCGCCTTAGAGTGGCAAAAGTAGCAATATCAAAAGGCCTTGACGTGCCAATCGTGGATGGACTTGAAATCGAAAGACAATGTTATAACAAAATCGTGGACACAAAAGACAGAATCGAAGGACTTGCGGCATTTGCAGCGAAACGAATACCTGTTTATCAGGGCATGTAAATCTACAAAATGAAGGTGCAATATATTTTACAATTTCGTTACGCTTAATATATCAGAGAAATGTATTTCTATACTAGCATCGAACACGGAAACCGAACACGCTACTCTTTTATTACGGTCTTGCAACGCAACGAATTTTTACATAAATGTGTTCAAGAAATATTTGCATTTATAACAGAACATTTGGGCTTTACACTCCAGGATTGTTTCCTTCAACGTGATCATCTAGAATATTTCCGTTTTGTTTTTGTTTTTAAGATACGAAAACGTATCGAAAGAAAAGACCGTTCACTTCGAAATATTGTAATAAACGAATATTTCTTTTCAGTACAAAGTGAACAATATTTTGCTACTTTTTATATCTTCAAACTAAACGGAGATATTTTAAACGCTTGTGTCGAAGGAAATAACCTGCGTAATAATAATTTCATGCCATAGATTATATCTTTAAATATTTTATAATTTACTCTTGTTTAAAGAGGAAGATTTATTATATTTCAGATTTGTTATATTAATATTGTTGTTAAGATAGGCAGATATTATTGTTGTTGAGGTGAGCATGTGTTTATGAATGGGGGAAAGGGGGAATGTACACATATTTTTTGAAAATAATATTACTACGTTTATAATACTGATTTTTATTTCACCATTTGTCCCTGTATATCTAGTTTATAATAAAATAATTGTAAATAAATTTATATTTTCATTCTATAATCTTTCATGTAACATCAATAAAGCATCATTTCTTAAATATTATTTCGTCAAGATTAAAGTAAAACTTTGTCGATTTGATATTTTCTTCTCCGAGAAAGAAAACCATTTTCTTTTTTTTTTTTTTATTGAATTGTTTTGGTAATACGAGACGCATGATTTGCTCTATAATAAAAAATTTAATTCGCTGAACTGTTATTTAATCTTATATTGGAAATTTACAATCATTTACAGAGTCAAAGTGTCATTACTTTTAACAAAAAAAATGGAATGCTCGACAAAACTGACTGATATACCACATAAAAGTATCATGTGTTTCTTAAATAAAATACTTTGTCCGTTTATAATCGAAAACATTAAACACATTGCATCGGAACAGTAAATTGTTCTTTCTCTTTGTTTTCTTTAACAACTGCCATAAGAACGACCAGCTGATTGATTGTATCGTCTGGACTAGTCACACGATGACCGACTGTTAAATCACTTTCATATATTTCAAAATCATTTTCACCCTCCAGCGTCTTATCGCCAAAGAAATGTATTTCGTCGTATCCTTGGATATGTCTGAGACAGTACGTTTTATCCCAGCCAACGGGAAATATGTCAAAAGATATTTGACCTCCTGTAAATAAACAATTACAACTTAACTCGACCAATAATATTTGTTTCATCGTTCCGGACATATAACGAAATAAATAAGAATAAATACATTTTATCGTAAATAAAAGATTTACTTACCAATACTGTACGTTAAAGCAAGATCCGGGAATTGTTTCTTAAGGGTGTGAATAAACTTCTTACGAATTTGATTCTCAATATCGTATTCGTAAAACTGAATACGTTCTTGCTTGGTGCAATTACGACCGACCGGTGATACATTGATCATGCCTGTTCTGAATTCTATAAAGGTTCCACGTTTGAAGGGCAAATGCAATTCGGATATGTATTTCAAACAAAAATTTATCAAATCCTGCAGTGCTTCTTCGCCGATATTACCTTGAATAGTCTAAAATAAGAAATTAATATTAAAATACATCGTGTAGAATTTAAAAACTATCGTACACTTTTAATAGTAATTCCTGGCTGTATTGCTTACTTCGGTAGGTAATTTTTTACCATCCAAAAAACCGACGAGTCCATTTTCAGCAAAAACGTATTTATATTTTTCAAATAAATTTCCACCGCCCAACTGCTCCTTAATCTTCTTTAAATCCGACCCTCCGACCACAGCTATGTCAAAGTTCTTTTTAACAGTCTCCAATAAAAACTTTTCTACGTTTGGCTTAATCGGCTAACAAAGATTCAAGAAATGTTCGCACAATTATAGAAAGTTAAAGTTTGCTTCTGCTGCCCTTACACAAGTATATTTAGGATCTATTTTTAATTAATAGTAGAATAATCGGTAGATAAATATACCTGTCTAGGATCGGTTAACGTGCCATCAACATCGAATAAACATATTATCTTCTTAGACATAGTAAAATAGTTTTATTCGTTTAATCTGAAACATAAATTCTTATATTAAACTTTTGCTGAAAAAAAAACTGCACGGATTAATTAAAGATACAAATATAATCAGAGGCATTTAAAAATAAATAATCAACATTAATACCAATGAATCTTTACTATATTATTTTTACTGTCTGAAAAAAAAACGGTGATACTAAGCGACCGAGTAATATATTTCTAAATCACGTGCAAGGCATTCCCATCATTATATATTAACAACTTGCTCCCCCCCCCCTCCCCTTTCGTCCTGCTTCAGCTGTAACATCATAATTCTTCCTGGCAAATTTTTAACACATTTAAAAATCTCTTTTCGTGAATGAAGCAAACATTTCTACTTAGACGAATAAAAAGGGGAAAAGACATTTCGCTAAAATCCATGTTTGTAAAATTTATAGAAATTGTAAAATACACGTTAAAGTCACGAGTCCGACAAAATTTCACCACTCGTCATTCGTGTCATCTAATATAACCTATATATGTATACGTGTATATACATACAACCGATGCTACGTATCGTATACACGAGAGAAAAAAAAGAGAAAGTTCACGTTCGATATTTGATTTCAATTCTGTTTCAACTGTAGCTTCGTCGGTCTCGAAATAAATCGAATATAGCGCCTAAAGTAAATAAAAAAAAAAAAAATAGTATAAACGGTACTTCGATTGAGACGTGGCCAGTTTGACGCGCTCTTTGCGGATTCCGTTACTATCTGTTAGGATTACGATGTTAAAAAATATTTGGCCGAATAAATTATACTGCTTTATCTGTTTTATCTTGCTAGAGTTGTGTAATCTAAATGCAAACAATGTGGCGCGTAAAAATGTAGTCTTACTTTTGGGTAAAAATTAGTTTTTTTTTCTTTTACATAAAATATAAAAATAAGACCAATTTATATTTAACACGTCTGCTGTCATGCGTCACGCATTATGACGCTAATTCGCCTATAATGATTTTCTATGATTTTGTACATCTGTGCAAATTATGGATCAATGTTAAGTTACAATATTGAGTGGATCTATTCAATACTGTTTGTTCATGATTAGAAGTATTAAATTACATAGAATTTACTATAATGTAATGGGCAGTTCCTCGATCAAATAGCGATGACGAATCCGTCAAATATTTAAATAAAAAAAAAAAATAATTTGTATTTACTCATCAACACGATAATTTGATTTTTATACAGCCGACGATGGAGGATTCGAAATGCGATCCTATTTGAATAAAATTTGCCAAACGCCAAATTTAGATAGTCTGGCAAAAGAAAGCTTGTTATTTAATAATGCATATACTTCGGTTAGCAGCTGTTCACCTAGGTACAATTTTTGCTCGAAGATAAGGGTTTCCGATATTTGAAAAATATATAAGCTTATATGAACCTTCCTAAAATTGTAGTCGTTCCTCTTTACTGACTGGTTTACCCTGTCATCAAAATGGAATGTACGGTCTTCACCATGGAATTCATCACTTTAATTCGTTCGAGGATGTTCAAAGTTTGCCAAAAATATTGAAGAGAAATAATATACGTACAGGTATATTTAAACTAAACAGCAGTAGCAAAGATTAGCTCACTGGAACGATAAATTTTTCAGGTATCATTGGTAAAAAGCACGTAGGACCAGAGAGCGTATACCCGTTTGACTTTTCCCAAACGGAGGAAAATAATTCTATACTTCAAGTTGGTCGCAACATCACTAAAATCAAACTTTTAGTCAGAGAATTCCTCTCCCATAATAGAACACAGTATGAAATTGTTACGTATTAAATTAATTGTCTCTTATCGATATAGAAATTTGGTATTGTAAGTAATGGTAAAAAGAAAAAGAAGAAACAGATAAACATTAGTTTGAAACATTTTAGGCCCTTCTTTTTGTATATTGCATTTCACGATCCCCATCGATGCGGTCACACCCACCCAGAATATGGAAAGTTTTGTGAAAAATTTGGTAATGGCGATATCGGTATGGGTAGTATCCCTGACTGGCATCCGATATATTATCAGTGGGATCAAGTGAAGCTCCCTTATTTTGTTCAAAATACAGAAGCTGCTAGGCGAGATATTGCTGCTCAATATACAACTATTTCTCGTTTAGACCAAGGTATTCTCACATATTAACGCTTCGCTTCTATTTTACTATACGAAACACTGAAACATAACAACTTAGAATTTGTCATTTAAGAATATTTCAAGAACTAATGACGAAATATTAAAATTTCAAAGGTGTAGGTTTAGTTTTAAAAGAGTTGGAAAATGCTGGTTTTAAAGATAACACGTTGGTGATCTATACATCCGATAACGGTATACCATTTCCAAATGGTCGAACGAATTTATACGAACCAGGTACTAATAAAAAAAATGTATCAAAAGAATTGTATATGCTTGTTACATAAGAGTAATTAACTCTTCGATGATGTTAGGTTTAGCAGAACCTATGATGATCAGATCGCCAATTCGCGGTCATAGAAAAAATAGCGTGACGTACAGCTTAACATCTTTATTGGACATTGTACCAACATTATTAGACTGGTTTAACATATCCTATAAGGATCAATTTTCACTCGATACGAACGAAGTTTCTTTCCCGCATTTAACGGGAAAATCGCTTCTTCCACTTCTTGACGAAGGTAAACCCAGCAAGCAATTAATTCTCGTCGTTTAAACAATCCCTAATATCGTTTTATTTTGCATCCGTAATGCAGAGCCCGTAGAAAACAATACAGCTGTTTTTGCCAGCCAGGCACACCATGAAATCACCATGTATTATCCTATGCGTGCTATTAGAACTAAACGTTATAAGCTTATACATAATATTAATTACAAAATGCCATTTCCCATCGATCAAGATTTATACGTGTCCCCGACATTTCAGGTAATCTGCAAAATAGTAAAAGTACCGTCGTTAAAAAGATACTGTATTTACTTGTTATTCACATTTACAAAGCAACATTTATGTTTTCTTTTAGGATCTCTTAAATAGAACTAAAAACAATCAACCGTTGAAGTGGTACAAAACGTTAAAAAGTTATTACGAGAGATCAGAGTGGGAATTGTACGATCTAAAGTACGATCCAGAAGAAAGGGATAACATCGCTACAAAGTCATCCGCACAGGTAGCTTCGTGTTTTTAATTAAAATAAATTCCAAAGCAGAGAATTATACTTGAACTCTTCTTTAGGAAATATTTACCGACTTACAAAAACGATTATTCGAGTGGCAAGAGGTAACAAACGATCCTTGGCTTTGCGCGCCGAGAGGAATTCTCAGCAATATTAAAACCAAAAGCCCTCGATGCATGCCACTTGAAAATCTTATTTAAGAGTGATTTACTTGATTAAATGGTGCTAAAATACTCAGAGATATTTGTACTCGTTAATGTTTATATATATAATTCTTAAATCGTAAAGGGAAAGTGCACATTAAAGGCATATAAAATATACATTTTACCCTATGAATTTTTAACTATTTTAATGTTTTAAAAAATATTTCAGGGCTAAATAATTCCTCTTCCATTTTCCCCTTTATTAAATATGAACAAAGCATTGGCTAGTTATAGAGTGAACAATTCGTATATTATAAAGTCTTTGTGTACTTTATACAGACGTCGACGATAAATTAGTTTAATGGTTTCTTTTAAATATACTTGCCGCTGAAGTTTATAACGGAAGAACGACGCGTGGCATAGAAATATTTTTCATATCCCTTTCCCGGTGTTTCGAAAGAATCTCATTTAATTGGTGAACATAGGACGACGACTTGTTCGCCGATTTCTCTACCGCTTTTAATTCCGTCGAGATTTCATTCATCTAACGTACAAGCGAATCGATTAGAACAAATGAGTAAGCATTGATAGGAATATTTGTGTCGTTTTTACAGTAAAATCTTACGTATTCTTTGTATCCCAAATATCTGTTGTATTTTTGATTGTTATTATAGATCTGTTTAACTTGTATTATAAAAACAACACACAGAAAAAGACCGCCGACCAATACGAATAAATTTGTATTTTGAAAACCACGTAAAACGAGCATTACTCGTACAGGTTATGTTTGCTGTTAAAAACTTCGATTAACCGTAAAAATGTATTTAAAAAATAATGTTTCGTTTAATGTTTTAAACGGCAAACAATGCGTATTTTGGTGTAGAATGTGTAAAAATTCTAACGATATTGAAAAAGTTCGACAGTGAAAACCCTCTAAAACTGGTCCAATTTTCAAACGGCCATAACTCTTACAATAGTAAAGTTATCTCATAGAAATTTTTTTCCGAAGCAGAGCCCGAGTATTAGATAATTTTTCTGTAGAACGTCGAACAAATTTATTATAAATGAAAAACGAATTTTTAAGAAAAATCGACAGGTGGTTTTTCGGCGAAAAAAAAGAATTTCAAATCGTTCTGATAAAATTATCTTCGGTTGCAGGGGTCAATTGCAATCATTTTTGGTCATTAGGCATATACTCGAAATCCTACCCACTTTCGAGAAAAAAATTGTGTTCTCTGAAACAAAATGTCAGTACTTTTACAAGAGAGATGCAAAATCAAAGTTGAGACTGTTGGTCTACGAAGGGACTAAAAATAAACATTCTTCGTTATAAAATTAAGGAATTATTATTTAAAGTAGAACAATACTTTGGAAATAAATCGTTTGAATACAGTTTATCAAGTAAGACTTTAGAGATTTATTTGCTAAGTATTCCATTATTTCAAATAGTAATTTTTTAATTTTATTTTGAATCATTTATCATGTCTATCAACTAGCGACCCCCTCGGCCAATCAGCAGCCAGGTAGGCTCCAAGAAGTTGCATAAAAATCCGCGCCCCCTAGCGCGCCCGCGGCAGACATCCCTCAACCACCGAGCAAGACGGAGCGAGAGTTTTTGGGACAACTCTGATAATGAGACTGAACATCTCCGATACGGAATAACTCCGTAATAAAACTGAACATGATATATTTGCCTATACAGGCAAAAAATATACAAATAGAAATTGAATTAAATATTAAATAAACATTGTCGTTACTAACGTCAACGTCGATGCAACTGTTTCTCGCTACTCTGATAGACGCTAAGGAACTTTCTCGTTACTAGTGTCGCCGTCGATGCACTCAACTTATGCCAAATCCGACCACACTGAGAGAACTATACTATGCACTTGTTGATGGGGACGGCGAAACGCGTTTTAATCGTTTAATAATTTTGCTCGAAGAGTTCGTATGATTCGACGTTCGTATTGCAACTCCGTAATAAAAAACAAATTATAAAAACTTACAGTAATTGTATTTAAGATACGTCGCTGTTATTTGGTCATTCGTGCTTTAAAATAAACTGCGATTAGTTTATCAGAAATAAAAAATCAAACGCGAAATTTTTACACGTTAAATGAAAAACAATTTTACCCATGTTTCCGATAAATTTATCTTTCGTGTCTGTTAACATATTAATTGTTAAATAATATTCTGCCATTTGTTTATGTACATCTTGAACGTAAATCTTCAAACATATTTCAGTTATATATAGCGTTGTTGATAATATTTTATTCGAAATATTTAATCTGTTAAAATTATTTATTTATTTATTTATGAAATGTGTAATAAGCTATTATTATACATAAGTCGTATACAGTCTATAGAAATAATTCAAATATTTTGCATACATATTATGCGTAAATAAACGTGAATTATATGCACAAGAAAAATACAGAAATATAAACACGATGCCCAAGACCCCTTGCATGTTAATATTTATTTTTGGTTTAATTGTTGTATACGAATTTGTTATCCCCTCGAAATAAAAAGTATGTCTGAAATCGAATTTGTCTGCGTTCGGTTGTAAATGTATGATCAATATTTATATCATTTTTCGGTCGAAATTTTTAATATAAATGAAATTGTACGTGACAGTGCGCAGGTTTTGAGTAGCAGTGTGATCCAGAAGTAAATTACTGATTATAAATCCAAACGTTTTCTGCAACTAAAATTATACACATAAAATCGTACAAAGGCATTTGTATTGAAATTTGTTTGTCACTGACATGGAAGTAGTTAGAAGTGTATGGAAAAAGCCTTTTTTGGTATATAAGGTTGGAGTACAAGCGTCTTTACGAAATAGGTACATGGTGAGATTGATATAACCTAAATTTTATTTTATACTTTTTGGCAAGGCTAGCAGAAGAACGGATAATTTCGATGCCGCAGAAATATTTTTAGACTATAACTCTAACCGGAATGTAAATATACAGACGTTGACACGATAATCATTTATCGTACCGATTTATTGTTAACAATTTACCGGTATTTTATCGTCTCTTTTTCTCTATAATTTATATACAATAGAGTCTTCTTAGAGAAAAACATTTCCAATTTATGTGTCCCCCGTATAAAACTGTACACTTTTTTATTATGTATTTTTGCTTTGTAATTTACACGTATAAAGTTGTAATATAATTTGAAGAGAGTGATATCGTTCTACGTTCTGTATCGTACGAATATGTTTAATGTTTTTATGTTTTATATATAACGTGTTCAATAATAGAACTGAAAAATATTTTTATCATCTATATCGTTGATGGAAGGCATAGAAGGCGAAACAACTTTGGGATAAAGTTACTTTTTAATAACATTGCAGTAGCAGTTCTACGTCGAAAGTAACAAAGCAAAAGGCCACTTCTATCGGAGAAGAGGATTCTCAAATCACAAGCACAAACGTGTTGCAAGATGACATGACCTTTAACGCTCTTGTCTCTACCGAAGAACTGCTCGCGCAAATAGGATTGGCAAGAGAGTTTGCTAGCGATAGTAAAGTTGATCATCCTTATATCGATAAATTAAAGAGAGTACAAATGATTCTGTTCGATTTAAGTCACGCTATATCGAAAACAATGCCCGGAGAAAGTAAGTCGTTCGAGAGGAAACATATTAGCGATTTGGAAGAATGGATATCGGAGTACACCAGTCAGCTGCCACCTCAGGAAACATATATTATGCCGGTAATAACGAGACTCGTCTTTTTTTTTTTTATTTCACCTAATTTATTTTGTTTCATGTATTTGTAATAGGGGGGTGGTAAAGCGTGTTCGACCCTGCATTCGGCGAAAGCGATATGCAAGCGAGTAGAACGAAACGTTGCATCGTTGGTTCAGGATGGTTTATTAAACAAAGAAGCACAAATATATTTAAACAAATTACAGAACTTCCTATTGACAACGTCACGTATCGCAGCCAAGTGTGACCAACGAACAGAGAATATATATATTCCTAGAGCAGAAGTTAACAAAAACAAGTAATTTCAATGTTCTTGAAAGAAATTCGTACAGTAATATTTTCTAATCATTTCCGTTCATTGATAATAACGCGAACGGCAAATGTACGCTGCAATTTGGTAATAATGTTGTTCCCATATAAATTTCAAAGCATCGGTAGGTTGTAAATATTTTTCATTCGAGTTACAAAATGACAGTTATCGATTATATTGTTGTATTGTTATATAAAACATGTACATAGTAATTATGAAATGTATCAAGTAGTTGATATTTAAACATTTTTAATAAATTTTAATAATAAGGTACAGTCGTTGATCATGATATAAATATTTTATTTCCTTATATATATAAATATATATATACATACATTTATTTAAAGAGTTCAGAATTACCAAAATTAATTTCATTAAATATTCGGATATAATTTGATCAAAATAATGGTGGTTATTTATTTAAATAATTTACTCGAAATAAGCTTCATAAATATTTAATTACACTATTTTTGTACACAATAAACCTTGGTTAAATAAAAAGTTAATATTTTATACCGAATTTAGATGTAATTATACATACAGAAAGAAATAGAAAAAAAGGTATTGTAAATGAATGTACATTCGAATAAAATATAAAAGTTATGACATTTAACTGTATTACGATTTGTAAGATTATAACTAACAACGATTAATTAAATCTACGATTTTATTCCAGAATTTCGTCCCCTTCGACAATTTCCTTCAAATTGAGCACTTCTAATAATCCAGAGGCTTGCGTTTCGGTCGTTACCATTTCATTTATATCTCTGTAACGGCCAGGATCGATCAAACAAACTAGATTCAACGTGCCGTTATCCCATTCTTCCGTTTCTAACTTTGCTACCAATTTAACTATTTTGTCTCTCAACTTTTTTGCATTTTTACCCCAAATTGTGACTCTGAGTCTCGTTTGAGCACGTTCCAACGGCATTACAGCTTTTAATTGCTGAATAACGTCTAAAGCTTGCTGTTTAGCATTTCGGTTCGGTTTTACAGAGTAATGTACATCTTTCATAGCTTTCTCTATCATCGTTACAGTGTACGGACGTTTAGTTTCTGGATTTATGCATTTGTCGGCAACTGTCGTCGCAATGTCTTTGAGCATAGAATCTAGAGCAGAATGTCTCTCTTTGTCTGAAACTTGAAGCTCCCCTTTCGTAAGGATTTCTTTACATATTTCTGTCTGGTCGTCCGTACCAAATGCTTTTAGGAGATCTTCCTTTTTTGCTACCTGACCTTTCGAAACATTTATAAATACTGTGTGTGTTTGTAGAACCTCGTCGAGATCTTTCTCCCTGAAATGTAACGTCGTTGTTATCGTTATGAGTGAAATTTAAATGTGCAATGCATAAAAAAAGGTATGAAACAAGTTACAAAGACATGAAATGTACAGGTTAGGTGTAAAGTACGTCTTCTTTTCGATCAACTGTCACAGACTTACAATTTATTTCTCCATGAGACAACTTTGTTTCTGTAACAAGCGATTTCAAATCGTTTGCCTAATTTTTTCATGCGAACCACGGCAACATTGGTTAATCTTATTTGATTCGTTGGTGTGAAAATTTTCGACATTTTCGATATTGCAGCTATTACACACTACGTGTTTTACAGAACGATATATGTGCAAGTAGGAAAATTATAATTCGCGCAATTTGATCGTAGACTCGTCCACGATACTTTGTGCACAGTTTCTATTTTTCCTAAAAGTTATTAATGTTTCTGTTGCGATTTTTGAACACTCGATTCATTATCGAATTATCGATACGTCTATTTTTCTTCGTGTTATCGAAAGGGTTGAAATATTTTATACGATGCGTGCCTGAGTTCGCCTTTACAACGGTTACTTTACATTTCACGTAGAATCACTTTTTACAGTTGGTACGTACATATTAATATTATTTTCGTTCATAATAATTAACTTTTATTCATCCAGAAAGTTGCTAAACAAACGATGTAACCATTTTCTCTGGAATACATTGAAATTCGATTTGAAAAGTGGGAAAAGTCTAAGTACAATAGCATATGTTTCTTATAGCTCTAATTACAAATAAATAGAAAAATATTATCAGATATATTTATTGCGTATGATTTCCTATTCGATAAAAGTTTACGTGTTGTTATAGAAAAGGTGAAAATAAAATCTGTTACTCCGAAATGATGTAATTTAATGGTCATAAAATTGAAAGAAATTTGAAAGAAAATGATGGAAATATTTGATCTTTCACAGTAATAAAATTTACGTTCGATGCACAAAAAATTGTAGGAAATTACATTGCTTTTTCTCTAATAATTCCAACGTGTATCGATTAGAAATTAAATGATTATTTTTATTTGAGACATTTATCATGATGTTTACGTTTATTTTAATTAGGTAGAAGAAGAAAAGAAAAATGGTAGAAATGACGTCATCGTACGATAAGCGGAATCGCGGGGTTGCGCATGCTATGGACGCGCGCATGCGCAGACCGCACGCTACATTAGACTGTATCGAACATGGCCGCCGCGAGCGTGATGCCATTGGAAGTGCGTGAAAAATGATCGTTTTTTCGTGGTTCGAACGACACGGTCGTTTGTACGTCTATGCATAGTGGCAGTGAGTGTTGTCTCCAGCATTTCGACGACGTGGGAGGCCATTATCATGGCGTTGGTCACCGTGCAACGATCTCCTAGTGTATCCAATTCCCCGCAGAGTTCGGTGAGTTTCCTCGCTTTGTACGTCTTTGTTGATACGTGCTGTCAATTCCTATCAAGAACGCGTCGTTTGAAAATTCACTCCCGTCGTCGTACGAAATACCGTGGCCGGAACACGTTGCTGGACCCTCGGGGGCCTCGTTCGAGCAGCTTTTTCCCTTATTTGGCGGTGTATTGACAGTCGAGCGAGGAAGGGAACCGAGAAAATTCAAAGTTCGCTGTCCTGTGTTTCGCGGTGACAGCGGAGTCGTGGAAAAATCAGGGTCATGATAAACAAAGGCTTGTTTTGATGTTTCCTACGATCGGCGGTCACGATTCGAAACAAAGCTGCACGAGAGTTCGCGGTTAATCATAGTTTCGCATATCTAATCCGTTCAGAAGCAATCCTTTTATCCCAGGTATCGTTCGAACGAACCTCGTGCAGTTTATCGCACTAGATGACTTGTTCTTTGCAACCGTATCTGGGGTATCGTCGTACCTTTTGTTGCTCGATTCGTCGGGAAATATTGTTGGTTAATTTTCGTATATTGGTAGTTTGTTTTAAAAAGAAGTCGAGTGTAATGCTTTCTTGGATTCCTGGTGACGAAGGAAGCAACACGATGTTGTTGGCGAAACGATTTGTTACAAAACTGGTTGATAGCGAAAATAACCTGCGAGTGTTGCGAAAAAAAGCGAGGTTCGTGGAGAAACGGGGAACGCGAGCTCCCGCGTTTTTCTTTTTTTCCAGTTTTCGTCGCGAGGAATTGTTCACACACGTGTGCATCGGACGTAATAATCTACGGCGTCGCGACGCCGACAGCCCCCCAGTCGGTTTGGCGCTTCTCGTCACCTTGGTTATACGGCGAAAGAGAGTCGAAAAAGAGAGTGAAAGGAACACGTGGATTTTGTTATATGTATCTGCTCTCCGTGAACTAGAGCCGTGACGAGCGCGTTTTCTCCGAGTAAAATGATTCAGCCGAAACAAAATAGTGCTGCTTTCTGCGACCGTAGTGAAATGTCCCCGACGAGCTTGGTTTTTAAACGGTACCGTAAAGACACGATGCGTATTATTTAAACCCGTTATGTTATTAATTTTAATGTTGCGGTAATTAAAGTTTCGGTTGTGTCATATTATCGCTAGGAGTTTAGGGAAAGTGTTAATATCGTAACAACGTGTAAAGTTGCACGTCGTGCTTTAAAATACCATTATTTGATCCAACGTTCGTCACGGTATTTATATTTTGATACCCTCGTCGAAATTCACATTTATTTTTTTTAATATTTCATATTGGAAATTAATATTTGTAGGTCTTTAGAGAATAAGTACACTCGTATGTTTTATTATTTTAAGGTAAGTTAGTTATTAATTATGTTAAGCAAAAATCATGTTATACAGTGTCTCGCAAAGGTTTTCGCAATTTTGTTATTGTGTTGTAGGAGGGTTCTTGCAATTTATGAATCGTGTAATAGCGAAACCGTGTTGTAGGAGGGTTACCTGTATAAGTGACGTATCAGCCAACGTGTTAAAATACCTGATTACGTTTTAACTGTTGCAAATAAAATTTTCTTCGGTTAAAAGTTGGCCAGTAAGTCTGACTATTGATAGTACAATCTACTTCCTCCAGCCTCACCTGGGTTTGTAGGAAGTAGATTATATCGTAACTAGCCAGACCTGCTGGCCAATACATAATCCCCTAGTAGCACAAAAATATTGGATAAATATTTTTCTCAAATATTGGAAAAATATCTTTTAAGCCACATTTATTTTTTCATATGAGAAACAACATTGGATCTGAATATTGTATACATCTACAAAAAATATAAATATTCAGGGGATATAAACTAGATATTTAAAAAATATAAAGTAATGTGAATCCAATATTTGAGAAATATAAATTCAATAATTAAATAACATTTTTGATATAGTCAACCTCGAGTGCTGCACTCCCACGTCAGCGTTTAAACACATGTTTACTGCGAGCGTAATAAAAACGTGAAAAGTCAATAAAAATGATTGAAAAATTTATTCTTTATTCCCCAAAGGACAGTTAAATAAATTATAGCGTTGGATGTGATATTTGGTTTGAAAAAAAAATTAACAAATATGGTTAAATTTTGTCAACGTAAACATGGGACTGCCCCCCTTGATTTAATATAATTCTCTAATTGGTTCCCTGCGGGGCGTACGCGTCGCATTGGAAAACGTTGACCCAATACGTTTGTTACTTTCCATGTGTCCCGCGTCTCCGTTCCGTATCTTCGCCGACATTTCGTACATCGTGTCGCAGCTGTTGAGTTTTAATAAGGAACGCGAAGTATCGCACAACGACCGTGAAAGGCAAGTGGCACTTCAAAGCACAACGCGTAAAATCGTTTAACAAAGGCAGCCTTAACAGGTGCTAGGCTGCCAGTGTTCTGTCTTTTTTTTTTTTTTCTTTTTTTTTTTTTCATTGCGCTCACTCCAGCGTGCATCAGACCCGTGTAAGTGCGCGTGTAGCTTCATTCAACCGCGTCACGCTGCGCTTTGATCATAAAGCGAACATTGTGTTCTAGGAATTTAAACAGTCGGCGGGAAACCGATGCGAGCAGTGTGAATTTCTGCTTCTACGAAGTTGTAACTCGGCAAATCAAAGTTCTCCCATATTTCCTATTGGACTATGATCTTTAAATACTAGAATAATAGAAATTACATTAATTTTGACTTTTATATACAGGGTGTTTGGCCACTCCTGAGAAAATTTTTTTAAACATTTTATAATGATTATAAATTTTTAAAATTACAATAAAATTATTGTGAAATAGTTTTTACGTATAAAAAAAAATTATTTAATAATGAAATCAAAATTTTAACTAGTTTTCAAGTTGGCAATGATGGGAGATTCCAGAGGGCAAAATAAGACCAATTTGTTTATGGAGGCTTCGTTAAAAAGTTATTAACAATTAAACTCGACAATTTTAAATCATTCTGGGAAAAAATTATTTTCGGTTACGGGGGTCGATTACAATTATTTTTGTAATAATAAAAAATTTCTTTTCTGAAAATATAACGTGTGGCCAAAAATGTTGCCCTGAAATTTCACGCGTATGTTTAAAATACAAACAATGGGTATCAATGAAGCTCTTAATATGCCGAGTGAGAACCACTATCGTGCGCGCGCAGCTATTCCCAGATGGGCGCTCTACCGCCGGAACTTTAAACGTTAATAACTTTTTAACGAAGCCTCGATCAACAAATTGCTATTCTTGATTTTCGTCTTATTTTGGCCTATAGAATCTCCTGTTAAAATTTTTTCCAGGGATGTCCAATACACCTTCTATTTTTACACCTTTGGCGAATCCTAAGAAGTTGAATTAATAGTTTTGATAGTTTTTTGAATATATCGTTGAATTTTGTCGTCTTTAATGGCTAACAGTAGTTGTTGGTTTTAGGATTCGGGCGCTGGTGCGCCGGCGGACGACGATGAAGCGGCGAGGAACTGTAAAAGGTAATGTTACGCGCCACTTTTCGATTCCTCGATTATCGCGTGTAGAAAGTAACTCGTAGGAATTATTCTATTACCAAATAGAATATTACGCGAACACAGCGTAATTGGTAACGGTTATATCAACCCCCTGCCTTAGTCTGGCTCGTCGTAAGTTTTTTGTGCCAAGTTTCACAGTAACGAGAGGCCTCACTCGTCATGAAGTCCCATATACAAGGTAGTCTATGCATCTTGTGCACCTCTGTACTTATAAAGTACGCGTTGCTCAACAAAATTTTGTATAAAAAAATTACATGGTTTTAAAGAGTGCACTATATAGTGAATTTGTCTTTTTTTTTATAGGTGAAAGGGTTTTGGATATTTGAAGGTCAACTTTGTCTTCTTTAAACGAAATACTATACCTTTTATACTACTCTGAGTAAAAAAGTGTTGATCTTTTTGTTGACAATTTTCGCTATTCTGAAACACGAAAAGTTCTGGAAGAGAAATATTACTCGTATAAACGTGGTATAAATCACACGTTTAGCTAGCGATTCAACGTGAATATACAAATGTTCTGGCGCGACCAGAAAGTTTAAAAATCGTCAAAAAAATTTGTATGTTCGTAACGTGAAGGGGAAAAAACGAGAAAGAAGTGGAAACGTGTACGGTGACTCGTTGAAACGACAGGGTTAAGAGGTTTATACGAGAA